GCTTTAATGGACCTTGGAAATAGCAATGCGTGAGAGTTGGGAATGTATTTTTTAAAATATATTTTATTGATTTTTCACAGAGAGGAAGACAGAGGGATAGAGAGTTAGAAACATCTATGAGAGAGAAATATCAATCAGCTGCCTTCTGCACAACCCCTACTGGGTATATGCCTGCAACCAAGGTACATGCCCTTGACCGGAATCAAACCTGGGACCTTTCAGTCTGCAGGCCGACGCTCTACCCACTGAGCCAAACTGGTTTCGGCGGGAATGTATTTTTGACGGGTGACAGAACACTGAGCTAAGACCAGGCCCCAGGCCTCTGGTCCCCTCCCAGGCTTGAATTACAGGGCAGCCAGAACAAGCCGAATGTCAATTGGAAATAATTAGTACTTGTTCTAGTACTTGCTATGGATGGGAAAGCCCTGTGGGAAGTCTCAAGCTGCTCGAATGTAAGCTGTCATTAAAATGAGAGCAAAGGAGGGAGGCTTTTAATTATTAATGAGAACTAAAGAAAAACTGTATTTATGTGAATTTCCATTTCGGATTAAAAACCCAGAGATCAGATTAACTGTTCTGCTAGACAGAATTGTAACACTGGTGGGGCCTGCTGTAGTATTATTCTCTCAAACCCAACGCAATGAGGGATCTCCCAAGCCTGCCCCAGTCTCTCACTAGATTTCTCAGCTGCCTGGAGTCCCAGGGGTCCCCCTAGTTTTTTCTCTCAGTTGCCAACAGCCCCAGCTTCTTCCTTCTCCTGCATCAGCCTGAGCTGGCCTGATCCGGAAAAACTGGTTGGGCTGTGCCTGACTAGACCAGTTACCACACCAGGAAACCAAAGGTCACAGTCATTTTACGTCTGCAGTGCCGAGTCTAAAGTGCGAGCACTGTCAATGAGGTGCTTTGGTCTCATAGTGAAACTAAAAGTTCATGGGCACTTATTTTACCAAAACTGAAATCAGGGGCTGTAACAATAATTAATTGAAAGTGGTGTCAAAATCTCTTCCATCCTTACTATCGATAGTTCCCATGCGGATTGTTACACAAGTAGAAGGCAGCGCCCTCTTCTGGTCAATGCCACACTTGCATGGCTTAAACATGGGGATTGCCAACACCCAGGAATAATTTTCACTTGGGAGCAGGATCCCTTGGGATGAGTCCTAAGTAAAGCATGTTTGGGGATACACCCTCTTCGAAAAAAAGAAAACTCAAAACTGTGATGGTTATAATGGGACTAAGAAATATTAGTTGGTAGTTACACAATAGGCAGGGAGGTGAAAGGTAAAGCCTAGGGCAGTGGTTGGCAAACTGCGGCTCGCGAGCCACATGCGGCTCTTTGGCCCGTTGAGTGTGGCTCTTCCACAAAAACTACATGCGGGTGCACACATACAGAGCAATTGAAACTTCATGGTCCATGCAGAGAAGTAGGTTTTCAGCTCTCAAAAGAAATTTCAATTGTTGTACTGTTGATACTTGGCTCTGTTGACTAATGAGTTTGCCCCCCACTGGCTTAGGGAATACAGTCAACAATGTTATAATAGCTACCGTATTTTTCTGTGTATAAGACACTATTTTGTTCTAAAATTATTAGACTGAAAGTCGAGGGGCATCTTATACACGGAAAAATATGGAGGGAGCCCAGGAGGGAGTTGTGTGGGTGCCTGGCTGCCCATACCTTGTCAAACAGGCTTCCTCCAATCACGAGCCTTATTGTTAGTGACATCAGCTGATGCAATCATTGGAGGTGGAGGTGGAGGTGGAGAGTGTGCAGATGCAACAGGGACCTGAGCATTCTGAGCCCATAAAGATGTCAAAAAATAAAAAGATAAATACCTGTAAGCGACTGTCTTATTCTACAAAATTCAAACTGAATGTAGTCAGCTATGCAAAAGAGCATGGAAATAGAGCTGCAGAGAGACCATTTGGACCTCCTCCCACTGAGTGTATGATCCGATAGTGGAGAAAACAGGAAGAACAACTCTTTAAGATGCCAAAAAAGAAGGCCTTAAGAGGAAACCCAGCAAAATGTTTAAAATATTTATATCTTATATAGAGAAAGTAAAGCAATAAGCGGACTGTCAAATTACAGTGGGGAGGTTGGGGAGATCTGGGGGAGATAAGAGATCAACCAAAGGACTTGTATACATGCATATAAGTACAACCAATGGACACAAAACTCTGAGGAGGGAGGGTATGTACGGGAGGGGGGACATTGGTAAATGTACAAAAATAATAATTTAATTAAAAATATATTAAATAAATAAATAAATAGAATATTGATATCTTAATTTTTGGTTGGAAAAGTGGTAGGCATCTTATACATGGGGATGTCTTATACACGGAAAAATAAGATATTTATGAGTGCCAGATGGACACTTAAAATATCGGAGGAAACAGTTTGTAACCTATGTGACTATCTATCCACTGTGTGTACACCTGAAACTAATATGAAAGTCTTGAATGCACACTGTAATAAAAAATGGTGATGGTTGATTTTATGTATGATTAACATTTAAGTTTGTACTTTTTTTTTTTTTTTTACCTTCCATAATGTGGGTGAGCCTTATTTTTTAAGAGTAAAAACTGAAGTTTCCTAAAGAAGAAATTCTGCTTATAACAGGGACATCTCCTTTGAATGAACATAAAGAGACACAAACTGTAGCAATTGATCTTTTGATTTGAGGTTTAAGTCCTGGTCCTGTCTAGCTACTTAATCATGCTTAGCCTTGGCTTCTTCGCTTGTATAAATAATAATAATAATAATAATAATAATGATAATAAAAGAATAGGTTGTTATAAAGATGAAATAAGAGAAAACGTGCTTAGAATAGTGTCTGGCTCCAAGTACTTGATAAAGGTTAGTAGTTATTATTATTATGGCTCCTGAGGGAAGCTGTCAGCGAGGAGTGAGGGGTACATGGAAGGGTAGTGAGCCCCGTTCACTCCCCGGCCCTTGTCTCCCAAAGCCCACACGGACAGGCAGTCTCTGTTTCTCACCGCCTGTTCCTGGGACTCCAATAAACAATTTCTTATTAAGTGCTGCATCTCCTCCCATAGGAACCCAATCAAGATCGAAAGTCAGAGTCCACACTGAGGACTACATCATAGAAGAAACCATTATTATGGCACAAAAGCCAAGTTCAGTAAATCTTGGTAACCATTTAAAACAGTAAAATTATTCTTTCAACACTTAACCTGGGGCCTCTATAAAGTTTAATATTTTCTCCACAATGCAACTTACGGATTTAATTAAAAGTTTTGTTTGCTTCTCCAAGTGAGAAGGATTTTTGCAAGATGATTTGGTTGGTCAAAACCTGTTACTCAAGCTAGCCAATGGTCTCTAGGTGGAGGGATTTGGGTTAATTTATATTTTCTTCCTTTCCTTTTTTTACGTGTGTGTGTGTGTGTGTGTGTGTGTGTGTGTGGTTCATTAGGTGATTCACCAGAAGAACCCATGAGAGTCATCAGCAGATTATACACTTTCGGAGATTTATTACAGCAAAGGGTACATAGCAAAGACAGTAGGAAAAGATAAGCGTTAACGGGGACCAGACAGGTTCAGCACAGGCTTCCAATGCCATTCATTGTCTGAGGCTACAGTGGGTACTCCTCTCGCCCTTCACTACGGGGACATGTGTGGAATGTGTTTGCACGGGGAAGCCTGTTTGAGTCTCAGAGTCCAAGGCTTTTATGGGGAGCTGGTCACGTAGGGATATGTTACTCTGCAACCACTTATGACAAACAAACTCAGGACCCTCATAATGAAACCAGGTGCACATGGTCGATCTCGATGTTTGTGCAAAGCAACCTGACAAGCAGGTAGAGCCATTGCTCCATGTATAGAACCAACTATCCATCACTAACAGAAAGAGCACTCTAGAGACCGCATTCCCAGCACTGGCCCAGGGTCGACCCTGGGTCCCTTGGAGACATGTAAGGAGTAGGCAACCAGATAGGCTGTGTTAACTCTTTCCTCTCAGTCTGCATTTCCTAAGATGCCCATAATGAACCTGTATTACTTTTATAATCAGAAAAGTGACCGTTAATAGAAAGTCACCCACCGTTAACGAGTTTCTTTCTTTCTTTCTTTCTTTCTTTCTTTCTTTCTTTCTTTCTTTTTTTTTTTTGGCAATTTGATGACTCTGCTTTGTGATCTCAGTACATTTCCCTGAAATCAGGACAGCTGCTGAGAGAAGTCAAGTCATCCTCCTCCATGTGTCCGTGATGCCCACAGAGCCTTTGTGGAAAACCTTACAGGCCAGGACAGAGCCCGGGAGACGGAGGAGGAACCACAGCAACAACACCTGTCAACTTCCCGACTTAGAGATAAGGAAGCGGGAACACTGAGCAGCTAAAGGATTTAGCACTCACGGTTCTAAATCTCGAGTGTTTTCTATTTAAAATTTCTCTCAGGCCAAAACCGGTTTGGCTCAGTGGATAGAGCATCGGTCTGCGGACTGAGAGGTCCGGGTTCGATTCCGGTCAAGGGCCTGTACCTTGGTTGCGGGCACATCCCCAGTAAGGAGTGTGCAGGAGACAGCTGATCAATGTTCTCTCTCATTGATGTTTCTAATTCTCTATCCCTCTCTCTTCCTTTCTGTAAAAAAATCAATAAAATATATTTTTTAAAAATAAATAAAATTTATCTCAGAACTCCTGCAGTGGAATAAGACAATGTCTGCTTTGCTGCTTCTGGTTGTCTTTTGTGTGGGCAGAACAGGAGGAGCCGGGACTGGGGGAGCTGTCTGAACCAGGTGTGCATGGTCCCGTCTGCTTTGGTCTCGGCCATAGGCTGCCCGTCCTTCCCCAGGCTCTGTGTCCAGAGCACTGCCCAGGCTATTGGGGTCCATGGTCCAGTTTGAACCCAGAGATTAGTTTCATCTTCACTAACATTTCCTCTTCACGAACTCTCTTGTAAGTTGGGGTAAGGGGTTTCTGTCACCAAAGGAATGCAATTTCCTCAAAGGCCTCCTGACACAAGTTTTCAGTGGTTATAATTGTGATCTTTTAAAAACAGTTTTATTGAGGTAATTGGCAGATAATATGCACTATATATGTTTAAAGTCTACATTGTCATAAGTTTTGACATGTACATACTTGTGAAACCATCACCATGATCAAGTTAATGAACATCTGCATAACCCCCAAGGTTTCCTTATATCGTTTTGTAATACTTTTCCCTGTCCTCAGACTATTTCTGTCTGTCTCTACATTTTAGCTTACACTTTCCAGAATATTATGTGAATTGAATCATATTTTGACATTTACCCATGTTGCTGGGTGTATCAATTGCTCATTAGATTTACTACAATTTGTTTATCCATTCATATTCTGATGGGACGTTTGGGTTGTTTCTGGTTTTGAAGTATTAGAAATAAAAATTCTATGAAGATATGTGTACAGATCTTTAGATAGACATATACTTACATTTGTCCTAAAGTACAATGGGTGGGTTATAAGAATGTATCTGTTTAAGTTTTTAAGAAACTGCCCATTTGTTTTCCAAGCATTCATACTATTTTGCATTCCCACCAATAGTGTGTAGGGGGTCCAGATGTTCCATATCCTCGACAGTGGGAATACCCTCAGGTAGTCTTGCCATGGAAACGGAGTTATTCAGACAAAGAGTTCCTGTAGTTATTCAGACTAAGAGTTCCTGTAGTTAACTCCCAGAGAGAAATATTGGGTTTCTTTACAGTAAGACTGGTGATTGCTTTGTATGCTGGTGTTACCTTCCCACCAGTAGGTTGTCATATGTAGTCTCCTCAAACTTATTGACCCTGGGACTCTTTATGTGAAGTGCATCTCCAGCGATTAGTGTTCTACAGAATATGTCTTGGGATATGCATTCTTGGGGGTTGCTGTGCAAGGGCTGGGAAATGTAGATGTTACCATAGCAGCCATACACCAAGCAGTTGATCTGAAATCCCCTTGTGTTCCATTTAAGGGATAAACATTCTGCTTTTCTGGGTTAGAAAGAAAACTATGCCAAGAGGCCAGACAGGGAAATTGAAGATACTCAGGGTGTGAGCTGACCAAATTATTCAGTCAAGGGTTTCTCTAATTTCCCTTTTGGAGTAAATTCAGGAGTGAGACCCCAACCCCCAACCAGCACAGTGGGAACAATTTCCCACAAATGGCTTATAGATTGATGCATAATCAGGTGCTTTGAAAAAAATTAAGATTATAAAAAGGGGGCTTTCCTCTTCCACCAGGCTGGGAACATGAGATCTCAAGAAACCCAGATCTCCTTGCCAAGGATCGCCCTGATATGGTTACCCAAGCGATTCTAGAGACTTGCAAGTGAGATTATTGGAGCCCTCTTCATTTGCCAGTGGGAGGGCAGCTAGTTTAATCTAGTAAACGAAGCAGAGTAGAGCTGATCATACGTTTTCTATCCTATTGCATTCTTTTAAAAACAACAACACGTGTTTATTGATTTCAGAGAGAAAAGAGAGAGGGAGGGAGAGAGATACATCAATGATGAGAGAGAATCACTAATTGGCTGCCTCCTGCATACCCTGTACTGGTGATCAAGCCTGCAACCCAGACATATGCCCTGACCAGGAATTGAACCGTGACCTCCTGGTTCATGGGTTGATGCTCAACCACTGAGCCACGTCAGCCGGGCCCCTATTGCATTCCTTTTCACATCTTCTGACTCGACGGCATCGACCTGCCTGCATTCCTGGCCCATTCCTTCCTGAGCACAAGGGAAGCCTTTTTCTTGCTCCTCTGGCATCCTCTTTCTGGCACCCTTCCCCAAGTTGTCTCCTGCCTAAATCCTGCTCGTCCCTCAGATAGCAGCACACATGTTTTCCTGGTGAACTTTATCCAACTCCGACATACTAGGTTATACTTCCCCCCATCACTTCTCGTACGTGTAATTAAAACTATTTAATGATTGTCTCTTCCCTAGCACGTGAGCTGCATGAGGGCAGAAATAGTTCCACAAGTTCCCTCCCGGACTACCAGCACAAGGCACAGAGTAGGTGGGCCTTAAGTAAATGTGGAATGGTTCAAAAATCTAGGTGCTGGCCATTTAATTCAGAGCTGTTCTGTCTCCCTTTGTCCTAAGTCAGAGTCTTCCCAGTTCCCTTTGTCCAAGGTTCAGATCCTCCCATACTCATTCCAAGACACACCTCTATTATCTATACACACACACACACACACACACACACACACACACACACACACCGCCCCGGATCAGAACAGCTGACATCCTGTATACAGGCTAGTCTCTTAGGTAATCTGGAGCAAGGAGCCCGGGAAAAGCAGCACTCTCCTTCTAAATATGAGGTTTTGGGGGGAAGAGGGGGTGGTGGAAGGCAACGTGGGTCAATGGGGTCAAATACATGGTAACAGAAGGACACTAGGTTTCCAGTGGTGAGCACACAATAGGGTATACAGATGTCGGAATTAGGATGTTGTACACCTGAAATGTATATAATGTTACTAGGGTACCTCAATAAATATAATTACTTTCGATGAGGTTTTCTAAGTGTGTAGCGGGTCTGAGACTCTGTAATGAATAGCTCGTGTGTACTCGCAAAGCCCAGCAAGAATGACGGCGGTGTCGCTGCAGGCAGCCACGAAGCGGGTCATGTTCACAGGTATGCTGCTGACGTCATTGGGCACAGCTCGTGGAAAGCTGCTGTGGGTGCGGGCGTTCTCCGGAATGCTGGGAGCGGGGCTAGTCAGAGGCAGTGAAGTTACACTCAGCTGTTCCAGCCTGTTCCTTGCCTGCCTCTCATCTCTCCTCCAAACCCATGCGCACTCCCAGGCCTGGAGCCTGAGATGTCCTTCTTAGCCCATCTCCAAAGGCAATTGCTTTCACACGGGGTGTGGATGTGATTATGAAAATATGCTGGAGTCCGAAGAGCTGGCGGGGAGGGCAGCCTCCCTCTCGTACACTCTGGGGAGATGGGACTTTTTCTAGTGCGAGGTGCTTCGAGGCCCTGATGCAGATCTGCATCGTAAAGGGGGGAGAACAGGCTCTGCCTTTGACAAAGCACAGTTGTACCCTTGACTTGAAGCTGTGGCGTGTGGGGGCCAGATATGGCGGGGATCTCTCTTTTCTGCATCCAGCACAGGAAGAGAGACGAATGAACCGGTTCTAAGTGGAGGCAGCAAGGATTGAGAAATAGTAGAAAGAAAGAAAGAAGACACAGAAATAGATTTAAAGCTGGGAGCTGGGTGGGCAGCCATTCTCTCTGATGGAGAGTTCACGCAGCACATTTATTTTATACCCCCAATACCAAGAAGTATCACCAAAACTTAGGATCAAAGGAGCTTATTTGCCTTCCTGAGTAAGCCCTAGCATTCCTAGTGCTTGACTGGATTTACATATCTAGACGCGCCCCTGCCGACCTGGGCTGATATGAAGGCCAAGCTGACCTGTCCAGCCTCATTGGGAAGCACGCTCCCAGGGCGTGGCTCTGCCTATCGCCCTGAGTTCAGCTGATGATAATTAAAGAAGTGCCCATGTGCCTTCCCAGGCAGCCCTCTACAATTGTGAGAACCTAATGAGATAATGTAATTATACATCCTTTAGGGCACTTTATGGCACGTTGTTAGTGCTCAGACTATGGTGTTTAGCTATTAGGTGCTCCTCGGTTGTTTTCAGAGTAACCTACGCCTCCTGCATCAGTAACCTCACACTGGGTGAAAATGACCTGCTCCTGGCCCTGGTCGGGTGCTCAGTTGGTTAGAGCATTGATTGTCCCATAGGCCAAGGTTGCAGGTTTGGTCCCCAGCCAGGGAACAGATGGGAGTCAACCGAGGAATGCAAGACAGTGGAGCAACAAATCCATGTTTCTCTCTCTCCCTCACTCCCTCCCTTCTCACCTCCCCTTTAAATAAATATATATATTTATTTTTAAATGGCCTGCTCTCTTTTCTCTTTCCTCTGCTAGACTAATACCCTTGTAGTCCCAACACCTAGAAAAGTGCCTTTCAGGTCCCACCAGCTCTCATCTGTTGAGTGCTTATCAATCAATTAAGTGCTTTACATGGATTACTTCATTTAATTCTCAAAACCCTATGAAGCTGAGAATTATCCTTATCTCCATTTTATGGAAGAAGAAATGAAGGCACAAAAAGGTTAAGTTCATGAGAAAGTAGGGTTTCAGTTGTTTGTATGGAAAATAATACAATAATCAATCGATACAAGAATAAACCTTTGTGTGTACTCACAACTGAAAACCTACTTTTGCCCCACGCTATACCTGGTGAGTGGTAGACCCAGTATTTACACAAAGCTGGTCAATCCAGACCTGTGCTCTTCACCACTGCACCCCCCTAAGCTGCACTCCAATACCTTTTCCTCCTACCTGGTATCACCGAGGAACCTGCCATCCTGTGTCTGTGAGACTCAGTATTCTATGATTCTCCTTGTGCTGGCCCAACACAAAGCCTTACACAATGGAAGGTTTTACAATAGCGTCTGCACGTCTAGCGCTAGGGGGGGCTTGCTGGGTTTATGTTGCAATTGCGCTCTTTCACAAAAAAAAAATCTCTTGGAGCCGTTGTCAGGCTTCACACTGGACTCAGTGGCCCTCTGCGCAGACCCTGTATGCTTACCACTGTTTGTTTGCTGAAGCAACCAAGAGCTTCACTGTAGCATGAAGGAAATCACACCGACTCTATGCATGACTGTTAGATGCCTCAGGATCTGTCACCGCTACAGTTAGGCCTTTCTCAGAGAGCCTGGGTGAAACCTTTCAATATTAGGTGCTCAGATTCCATTGGCTTTTAGAAAACCATGTGGCTTATACGTACAAGAGTATTACATGTTTTTGGAGTTAAATAAATATACTCATGTATAGCCACCCCCCTCAACAGAATATTATCAAACTGTACCAAGTCCTCTAGGTCCCCCTCCCCCATTGCATCCCTCCTCCAGTCCCTGTTGAGCAATGCAATATGCTCTTATTATATGAGAGTTATGAATAGTGATGATTTTTGGATAAATAAGTCAGGTGTGATTCCTCAGTCCTTGTTATGAAAGGTGCTAAAAGCAAATGCATATTCAAATTTAGGGTATTTTGAGGTTTCAGTGTCTATGCAAACTCATGTTTTCAGTGAGCTGTTTCGGATTCTAACTTCACAAACCCTGCAGCATAACGGAGTACTGAGAACAGCTGTGTCACAAAATGTGGTCAATGTGCAAAATGAATTTTTGCCATTTGGGGGACCGGCACTTGCATGGCAATGGCTGTTGGAATGTTAAGCTGACAGGGTGCTACAGACGGTGAGGAGCTGCAGGAGGGAAGAGGGAGTATCCCTTTAAGCCAGCAACAAAGAAGTATTTCCTAGGAAGTGCGAGAAACGAGAAACAGGTGTAACTATGTAAAAGGACTTGGCTGTGATAGTAGGCATCCTCCTAAACAGGCTGGTGAGAACTCGTGTGCTAACTCAATCAGCCTCTGATCCTTAGAGGAGAGCTACAGGTCTTAGTATTAAAAAACGTGCCCCAACCCAGCCGGCGTGGCTCAGTGATTAAGTGTAGACCAGGAGGTCACAGTTCGATTTCCGGTCAGGGCACATGCCCGGGTTGCAGTCTCCATCCCCAGTGTGGGGTGTGCAGGCAGCTGATCAATGATTCTCTCTCATCATTGCTATTTCTATCCCTCTCTCCCCTCTGAAATCCAACATATATATATATAATTTTTTTAAAGTGCCCCAAACACCAAACTATTGAGAACTAGTACTTCAACCAATAGATATTTCTGAAGCGGTTTAACACATTTCTGTCACTTACTCCTGCCACGAATGCACCCATGAAACAATTTCCCTGTCTCCTCCCCACCTCCGTCACGGTGATTTAGAAAGTACCGTCTGGAGGAAATAAAATGCAATTCCACCATAGATGTGGTAATGTTTGTATGCAGCAGTTGAAAGAACCCCCCCCCCCCCCCTTCCTCAACAACAAAAAATCCCTGGAAATAATTTCAATGTTACTCAGTTCATGAGAGGATTAAGTTAGGGGGAAAATTGGAACCTTTAAGGGAAATTGCTTTCAGAACTGGGGGAGAAGAGACACAGGTCATGAGGCAGAAACTGTTGGCAAGACGCCCAGAAAAGTAGGAAATCTTATACCCCTCTCTCCTTCTCTAAAGAGCGTCGCTATCCCCACAGAAAGCCTGGCTTCCTGTCGGCCTGAAATGTGCTCCCTTCTAGCTTTGGGATTTGCTGAGGGCCATGCAGCTGCAATGAAGTGATTTGGATGCAGTGTAAATAATACTCAATAATATGCTGGTGTGTGAATCAAAGTTCAACTTCGAAGCGAAGACATGATTTTCAGGACAAGTTCCTTTTCTCAGGAAAATAAGCACAAAAAAATCTTCCCTCGTATTTTTTATTATAGTTAGAACCACCGTATAATTTACCCTTCAAACCAGGACACTTTTGAGAAGGCATTGTGTGTGCTATTAATAACTACGCCTGAACAACATAAACTGAATCGTTCCAAGCAAACTGGAATATCTGACCACTTACAGTGCAAAGTTGGTGTTCAATTAATGCTCATGTATTATCATGTTGTGTAACTTTTAGCTCTCAAACTTGACAAACTGAAAGAAAAAAAAAAGGAACATACTTATAGATACTATTCAATGTGTGTTCTTTTTGTTATGCTAACACACTAAAGAGACCCATTTGTCTAGGGAAGGAAGAATGTTCCATTTTCCTGTGGTACTTTGAGCAGTATTATCTGTGTTACAGACAATAAATGAGCGCAGGAAGCTAGTCAGTTGTACCAAATCATTGCAGAGCTGTGCTCAGAGCTCACAACACTGCCCCTCCCATCCCCAGCAATTGTGCTGCTCACTGAATCATGAAGCTTGCCATCTAGAACGTGATGGGATTTCTATTACAGATTTCCCCCAGGTGGAGAGTGGTTGCCACCTTTCAAATAAGCTATCTTGTGAAGGTCTTGGCTGGGTAGCTCAGTTGGTTATGAGCATCATCCTGCCGGCACTGGTTTGGCTCAGTGGTAGAGCGTTGGTCTGCGGATTGAAAGGTCCCCGGTTCGATTCCCGTCAAGGGCATGTACCTTGGTTGCGGGCACATCCCCAGTAGGGGGTGTGCAAGAGGCAGCTGGTCGATGATTCTCACCGACGTTTCTAACTCTCTATCCCTCTCTCTTCCTCTCTGTGAAAAATCAATAAAAATATATTTAAAAAAAAATAATCCCATCAGATTAAAAATTTCAAAGAATGAAAAAAAAAAAAAAAAAAAAAAAGAGCATCATCCTGATACGCAAAGGTGATGGGCTCCATCCCCAGTCAGAGCACCTATAAGAAGCAACCAGTGAATGTATGAACAAGTGGAACCACAGATCGATGTCTCTCACTCTCCCTTCCTCTCTCTCTCTCAAATCAATGAAAAAAATCTCGTTTGTAAAGAGGTTTTTCCTAGTTCACATTACTATACTCCTTTTCATACCACTTCTATAAAAAGCTCAAGTACAAGTCCTGATCGTTAATCACGTACTTAGGTCTTTTTTTTGGTAATGCTTTCTTTGGGCATTCAAGGGATCCAGGTATTAAGCGTAGTACTTGGGATATTTGTGTGTTACACTTGGGATTTTTGTGTGTTACAGTAACTAAGCAACAGTGGAGATGTTTTAACTTAGCATGTCCTGTATTGGCAAGCTTAAAAAAGAACTGTCAGGCCATACTTGGCAGAAACTCCCTTGGACTCCTCCACCCTCTGTACAGTTTCTGTACATCTTGGCTGCTCATCCACTGCTCACAGAGACCTCTCTGTTTCAGCCACTGGGACAGCCTTGCCCGAGTCTCTCCCCTACAGGGCAGCTGGACACCCACGGTCTTCAGTAATTGGCAGGATTGGAACGAACTGGTGGCCTGATCATTCAGTAGCTTTTACTACTCTCACACCCATATCCTACATCTACTCGTAACTGCTACCCCTTGGACATTATTTGCTTTTGCTTAAGAAAATATAACTAAGCCCTTAGTTTAAGAACCCTGCCAAACTACTAAACTGGAAGGACATACATCTCAAACATAAGCACTAGCTTTTTAAAGTGAATATCCATTAAAACCCACTCAGTGACAAAATGTGCGAGAATGTTTACTACAAAATGTCCAATAAGTGTTAGATGGACATGACCTTCCAGGTGTAATTCTGGGAACAGAACTACAGCACTAAGGCAGCCATGGCAGGAACATAGAATACCGAGAACCCGTTCTTAGGAAAGCAGCACTCTGCAGTGTAGTGGTTATAGCAAAAATTTTGATATCCAATTGCACACAAGGTTCTGTTCCATAACATACGACCTACGTGTTATCTATAGCTTAGCCTTAGTTTCATCATCTGCAAATTGGGGATAAGAACTATCCTTGTCTTAGAGGTTTGTTGGCTTAACCAAGGTTGTTCTGGGGTTAGTAGTGTCAACTAGACTTATTTCTGTCTCCTCCTGGAGTGCATCTCAAAGGCAGGAATGTTAAAAATGGATGTAAAGTATACCTAAGGGCTCTCATTATTAGCCACCAGGACATGAAGCTGTAAGAACAAGGACAGTACCTGACGTTCAATTTAACCTGGCCTGAGTTTAACTGGTTGAGTGTTATCTTCGCACTTTCCCAAAGCTTTGGAACCTCCTCTCTTCAGTGGTGTCTTAAGAGGACAAGTACAAGTCAGGATGTCTGATGGATGAGAGAAGGCAAGGATCTAGACTGGTAATCAAGGAACTGCATAAAAAGGGTATTAGAAGCTTGAGCAGCCGAAACTGGTTTGGCTCAGTGGATAGAGCGTCGGCCTGTGGACTGAAAGGTCCGAGCCAAGGTTATGTACCTTGGTTGCGGGCAAATTCCCAGTAGGGGGTGTGCAGGAGGCAGATGATCGATGATTCTCTCTCATCAATGTTTCTAACTCTCTATCCCTCTCTGTAAAAAAATCAATATATTTAAAAAAAAGAAAAAGAAAAAAAAAAAAGCTTGCGCAAAATATAATCTAGCGAAAAAAGTCCTAAATATTTATGACTAAAGAGCTGGTGCCATCGCTTATGTAGTATGACCATGGGAATTTACTTAACCTCTATAATGTTTCTTTTTATTTTAGGGAAAAGAATATCTTTTAAATCTAAGTAAGCTTTAAGGATTGCTAGTCAAAATAACCATTTTAAAATGTCTAACATAAAACATGACAATAGCAAAAAACATTAATTTTCTTCATTTCTTATGTGACATTAACATTTTAAGCATGGCTTAGAATTCTGGATGGCCTAAGATTCTATTATACTTGTGATTCTGTGATTAAGATTTTAGCAAATCTCAACTAGGAGACATCATTATCTATTTTTAAAATTTAAAAGCAGCAACCTTTTGTCTCTCCAAACAACTTATCTCTAAGTGTTATAGAGCAAATGTGTATCCCACCAAATTCATGTTGAAGCACTAACCCACAACGTGATGGTATTGGGAGATGGAGCCTTTGGGAGGTAGTTAGATTAGAACAGGTCACGAGAATGGGGCCCTTATGATGGGATTAGTGCCCTTTTGAGAGACACCAGAGAGTTTAACAGAAGGCTCCCCCACTTCCCAGCCTCCAGAACTATGAGAAAGAAATTGATCTTAAGCCACCCAGTCTGATATTTTGTTATGGCAGCCAAGTTGACTAATACAGTAGGTAAAATAAAGTGGAAGAACAGACCTGGCTAGGTAGCACAGCTGGTTAGAAGGTTGTGCTGATATGTTAAGGTATTGGGTTTGATCCTTGGTCTGTGCACATATGAGAGTTAACCAATAAATGCATAAGTACGTAAGTGAAACAAATAATGTTTCTCTCTAAAACCAATAAAAATACAGTGGTAGGATGGGATTGCTCTAGTGAAAGCAGGGAGCAGAGGAGAAATAAGTTTTACCTGCTTGGTCCCCTCCTCAGCTGGAGCCCCAGGTTACCACAAAGCACAGTATAAAAACTGTTTAATGCAACAGCATAAAAACCTGCCCAAATATGAATAATGCCCAAATGCTACAGACACAAACTAGGAGATGGCCCAAATTCTCTTCTGGTATTGAAATTCTATAGTATTGTCTTATTGAAAATAAACAAACATGCTAATAGTTAGGATTCTATATTGCTTTACAGATTTGTTGCAAAAGGGTCCTAAGTTTCAGTATGGTGGTAACAAAAGAAGCTTCTTGGGCCTTGGCTGCTATGGCTCAGTTGGTTGAAGAGTTGTCCTTTATACCGAAAGGTTGTGGGTTCAATTCCTGATTAGGGCACATACCTAGGTTGTGGGGCACTTACAAAGGCAACCAATGTTCTCTCTCACATCCATGTTTCTTTCTCCCTCCCTCCCCCCCTCTCTAAACCAATAAGCATGACCTTGGGTGAAGATTAAAAAACAAACAAACCACCAAACCTACTTGGGTGAGGTAACTAGGAAAGAAGGCTTGTGAAAGCAATGTCATTTCACTTTGGGGGGGGGAAAACTGCCTTTCCCAAGTGGTCTTATATCTCACAGCTTCTAGGGGATATAAAATAAGACATCAAATGCAATTTAAAAATTTATAGCTGCATTTTGTCCAATTATAAGGCAAAAAGCAAAACTCCCTTTCCAAAGTAGAACATACTACAAATTATTCATTCATTCACAGCCCATTCACTCTGGGGTAACCCCACACTCTCTCCGTGGAAAAGAAATGGCAAACTATCGATATACCAAATTTAACAATGTGATCATCACTAATTGTGTAGCAGTTAGGGAAAGAGCAAAACTGTCTTTCATAAAAGCAAGTGGGGGCGGTGGCAGCCGGAGCAGATAGGGAAGGCCCCCTAACTTTGTATACAGATAACTTGGCTACAAAGAACAGCTGAGGAAACCCTCACAGTGGCACAAGTTGCCACAAGAGGGTTTGTGGAGGAAGGGTTGTTCCCAGAGAGCCTATATCAATGCCTCAGTGAATGCGGGTCACAAACACAGGGGTGTCAGGCCCTTTGTCTTTCTTTATGTCAACAAATTTGCAGTCAATTAGGCTCTGGACTTGTTTGGGGAAGCCCAGAATTGGGCCTAAGAATAAAATACATGGAAAAACTGTGAAGCCATTAAAATACTTTTTTTTTTTTTTTTTAAAGTTTTCAGGTATAATACACAAAAGCAAAAAAGTTTATCTTTAAAAATATCAAGTATCACATCCATTGTCTAGTCCTAATTATAATTACTTCTTAAAGCAACATTTGTCTTTGTTTACAAATACAGCAGCAGGTGATAAAACCTCACGTCTCAAACACATTGCTTACAGGTCATAATACAAATGGATATGTCTCAAATCACATTCTACGCAGTTTAACTTAAAATGCATAGACAATTACATACATTAAATTTGTCATTAAGTCAATGAAAAAAATAACAATATCAAGAAAAAAAATACAGAAACCCTTTAGAGAGCACAAAGAAACCAAGTTTACTTAATGGCAACAAATCAGTATCAGCTCATCAATGGCAGGCAGTGCAAGTGCCTTCATCCAGGGGAAAGTGAGGAGGAAAAACATCCCATTACTTTGCATGCTTGAAAAGTTATACTGACAAAACCATCGTTTTGGAAAACATTAACTTCTTCAAAAGGGAAAGAAGAAAAAAAAAAAAAAAAAGTAGAGCATACTTTGCTCTTTAAAATGCCCCAAGGCTGGTCTACAATTTCCAACAGCAGGAATACCAAAATATGTTGATGTAGGTTAACTAACGGGCATACTAATGAATTCTGGAATGCCACCCTTAGACTGGGACCCTCAAGGACAGGCATTGGTTTTCATCTCTGCATCTCTGCATCTGGCAAAGCACCTGGATCACAGACACTGAAGTGTCTGTTGGATGAATGCAGTTCTCAGAAATAGTCTACAGCCAGAAGACTGCATTTCTTTAATACTGATCATTTTATTGGCATTTTTGTTTTACTTGGTAGAATTCTGAAAATAAAGTGTCTTCATACTAAATATTGCTTTATTAGGATTATAGTCTTCCCTGAAAGCTGCTCACCACTTTCTATGTATAGCGAAGTACGTCAGCATGATTCATCTGAATTTAGCCTTCTGCTTTTCAAAAACATTAACACTGGAAGGTCTGTGCTCAGGTTTAATTCCCAGGATTTATAGCTGTGGCACTTAAATAAAGCCAGCACTAGATTTTTCAGGGTAAGGAAGGAAGACATGGCACTAATCATTTACAAGTGTAGGCAACTGATTGATAGGCAAACTAGGCACAGTGTTTTATTGAAACTTTGAGAACTATGTTCACCTACACAAAACTTCAAAAGCTGTACATCTGAGTACAATAGGTAGCACTAATTATTTATGAGGTAAAATATGGGCCCAACTGACTTCTTTCCCAGAAAATATTCTAATATTCCATTGTAGTGGAATGACAGACCAAGGCCAAAAATACACCCCTTTTCTTCTCTGTTCTATTACTGTCATCTACTCAAAATAAGCAGTAAAATGGGCTAAGAAGGGAGGAAGCCCTTGGGTAATTAATGTCTGGCTGCTTTTTCCAGCTGAGAACCATGGACTGCAGTGATCTCACCAGGCACAAGCTCCTGCGAATATACTTTGAACACACTAAGACATGCAGACAGCATCACGGAGCTGAGCCCCCCGAGTGGGCCCAGTGGGGAGCAGCCAACTCAGATGGAAACAGGAGAGACAGAAGCCAGGTCTCAGGGGTCCCTGATGGCAGGCGATTTTTTTAAAGAGGAGGAACTGTCTTCCCAGATGTTCAGCTTTACTGGGGCCATGACTCAGATCAAGGAGCTGGAGGACAGGGACCATGGGAGAGCTCAAGGAGATTAAAGAGCAAGGGCCAAGGGCCAGGCTGGCTTGAGCCCTCCGAGATGACCGAGCAGCCAGACTATGATTGGGAAGCCTTTGTGAATAAGGCAGACCAAACACTTCTCACCCCTGAGGCAAGAAAGAGCCTCAGTGACTGCAAATATAGATTGTTGGGTTAAAAAAAGAAAAAGTTTTGCTGTCCCTGCATAACCAATATATAGCTTTAAATAAAACAGGGCTGAGGTGTCAGAGCTGCAAGCAGCCATCCTCAAGCATGAACAGGTGTCAGGCCGAGTCCAGCAAAGACAAGTCAAGATATTAAGCTTCTTTGAGGCGCCTTGATTCTTGAAAACTGAATGTGTAGCTATAAGGTCCAAAGTTTAATTTTTCATTGTCATTTTTTAGGTTCAACATTTCAAAGTCTAACATTCGAACTCCAGAAACACTATTCTTAAACACATCTCAGCTATCTCCATCAAATTTACTTTTAAAATTCTTGCTCTTCAAGTCCAAATGCCAGCATATTCTATACTTCACATTCCCTTCAGACTAACAAGTAGTCTTCTATAAACCCATCTTAGCCTAGCATGACTTATTTTTGAAAGCAAATTATTCTTTTGTAAAAAGAAAGCTTCCTTAGATGCTTCCCCCACTGAAATGTCTGCTTTTCTTAACTCCACCCTGAACCTAAAAATACTTTTTGCCCAGAGTACCTTTGAGAATTGAGAACTTCTCCCTCGATTTGAGAAATGATCCTCTGAAGAATTGCAAATATAGAAGCAAATTCTGTTCCCTTTGATTTCCATTAAAAAAATTTTTTTTAATTCCTTTGAAAAGTTTTGGAAAGCAAAGGTTTCCAAATATTTGCATAGTGATAAGAGATGGAGAATTAAGCTTACAGTATTAAATACAGTATTGTCTAGGGCACAGTGTGGGTCACTAGTAAAGTTAATAAACTTATTGGGAATAGTAATTCCAAAGCTTGTGTTCATGGTCTTTCAAATCCTTCAACAAAAGATTTTCACCAAAAATAAACGGGCTCCTCAATTAGACTCCCAAACTTGCTACCTCTTCTTCTTTTAGTCAAACATCATCCTTTCTAGTATGACATTAATTATCCCATCTTAAGCCAGAGCTGTCAACTTAATCCTAGTACAGGACAACCAAAATAAGCATAAGGAGTGATATATTTGCTGCCACCTTACTTTTCCTCATTTTATGCCTCCAGTTAGCTGACAGGAAACTGACTGGATAATTTAAGACAGGGCACTCTAAGGCTACATGCCTTGTGAATTGGATGCTACCTTGACAACAGAGTCCCAAAGTGTTGTAAATAGCTGCTACTTGGCCTTGCAGTGAGGTGAAAGATAAAAAGACCATTTGTGCCACTATGTAAGAACTGTCTAACAACATTGACCAGTCTGAAAATATCTAAACAAATTAGTTTCAATTCTGTAAGCTTGAATCTATCTTCTACTTTAAAGGGAGGTTTAAACACTGAAATTTTCCTCCCAAAGGTGACCATCTTGGTTTTGTAAAAGGAGGTAGCTATCAAATCATTAAATTGGCAGCATTTGGCATTCTCCACATTTTAACTATCAGAAAAACAAACTACTAAGTATTTCTAAGCAAAAACAAGAGTTCTAGCATAAATTTGCTTATGTTAATGAAGAAATCAACCAATACATTTAGAAACCCAATGGATATATTAAAAGTTTCAAAATGTTACTTCATGAATAACATGATCAGTTCTATCCCAAAATTAAGAATCTGATTTAAAAGATAAGGTGCCAAGAAACTACTCAGACTATTTTGGTGGTTACAAACAACACTTATTTAAGTAATACAATCACACTTCTTTAAACTCAATTGCAGAAATCTACACTTTATTATTTTCATTGTTAAGAGTAAATGGCACTTAATTAAACCTATTTACCTGTCAACAAATACAGAACTGAACTGTTTAGCTTTAAGCACTTTACAAACAGATCCAGGAAACTATGCAAGAGACAATGACATAGCTTAACCAGATTCTGACAGATCGTATTTTGATCAACTTGTACAAAGAGAACAGTCATGCCTGTGTGACTTAAGGTTCTTTAAACAAAATGGCTACATGTGTTTATGACAGCCCCGAGGGTGTGCCAGTTTTCCATGTCAGGGAGGAATGAAAGGATGTGCTCCTAAAAAACCGAGGAAGGGGCTATAAGGGACTGGGTGGAAGAGTGATTTGTGGGAATACAATTACTTGTCCTTATGAAGCAACTCCTAAGGTTGCCTTTATTGTGAGGTTCAAGACAAAGGAGAGAATTATTTCCTTCCTTGAGCTCTTCTCAAAGCAGTATGGACACGTCAAATCTATTCTAAAGCAATAGAGATCACCAATGCTTTAGGAGTATAATTTCCGTACATGCTTGCCTGCAATAAAAAGAAGTTTCCATACAAATGGCAGATTTAAGAGCTGTCTGACCCATTTGGTTAAAAGTAAAACAAATCAGGTGAAATTCAAAACAAAAGCTTTCACTAAAATTTCAAGGATAAAAATTAATGTTTCCTAATAAACTCAACATCTGATATTAATTACTGCCAGTTTAAAAATGTATATTGAAAGTATAACCTCAAGAGGACTATGTTTGTTTATTCTATGGATAGAGCAGCACAAGATGTTGAAAGGCATAATTTTTTAAATTATGACAACATTTTTCAAAGTGTGTTCATTTAAGGAAAAAGTGTTTATAGAAAAATACTTGAAATAGTTTGCCAATGAGGTTGCAGGTTCTAACAATAATCCACACATCATCTTAGATTTTTAAATTTGTAGTTTCATAATTTAAACAAATCCAAAATTTGTTTTATACAAATTCTATCAAAGAGCTATTCAATAAATTTATTTTCACTTTCCATAAAAACTGAGTAAGAATCACATTAGAATGATTTACATTTTTATCTGATTGTATCCATCTGATATATTATACATCCAAGAACAAGAGGCAGATATCTTCTGAGAGGAGCAGTTGTTCTTTCATGAATGCCCTCTAATAGTGAAACCAGCAATTTTTATATATGCATTATTGTGCATACATATGTACTTCAAAAAGCAAAGCGTCATCTCTTCATCCATTAACTTAATGGTAAGACTGCAATAGAGAAGAAAAAAAAAATATATAAACCTCTAGATTTTGTAAATGGAGTTTAACTCCTGGCTATGGCTTAAACTTATTGCTTAATAAATCCAAACAGCAAGCTATCCCACTAATTTTGGCATACAATTTACAAAAATATTTTTTAAAGCGAATATTAGTAAATAGTTAAAATAATGAAAGGAGGCGTGAGTTACTTAACTAAGATTTTCTTCCTTTACAGTTGAGGTAGATGTTTAGTTAATCTAGTTGCATATTTGATTTTTTTGTTAAGAGTAAATAGATTTCCATCTCTTCAGGGAGCATCCTGACTGTGTTTGAATACTCACTTAGTTTACTTCATGGGAGAAGTGGGCTGTTTCTCTATTTGGTCATATGCCCAAGACAGGCTCCTCGACTAAGATGTCAACAATACTCCAGCTTGGCTGACAGTAGAGTATAAAGCATTACACATAACTGACAATTTATAACAGTGGTAAGACCTTGAACTAAATGCTAAGAATCTAATAAAAACTTTGGCTAAAAAACACTACAAAAAGTTGTAACAAAGTTGCAGCAATGTTACATATTCACTGCCCTGGATTATCTAAAAATATACCTCTAGTAACCAACCGTTTCTTCCGGCTGCTTATAACAGAATAGTTTGTGCATAAATGTTATACAAAAATAAATATAATGAGCTCTGGCCAGGTAGCTCAGTTGGTTAGAGCATCATCCCAATGTACCAAGGTTGGGGGTTTGATCCCGGTTCAGGGCACATACAAGAATCAATCAATGAATGTATAAATAAGTGGAACAAAAAGAAGCTGGACTTATTTCGAAGCTTTTGTTAACAACTACACTACTAAAAGTGAGTACAGATAAAATATAGTATTGAATGTCAACTACAACGGGAAAAAAAAGATCTACCTCTGTATCAAGCCAGCCAGGCTGAGATTGCTATTATTAAACTGTGCTTTGGTGAGATACTATATTATTGAGAAATGTTTTCTAAAAGTCTAATGTAATGCATCTCTCACTTTACCTCAAAAATGCCTTTGAGGATCTTTAGAAAATTTTTCTTTTCATTTTTAATACTGGGAATAACATAATTGTTTTTTATCTTTTTAAATGCTTTACCTGAAATTTGAAATTTACTCTACACATACCTACCCACCATTTTTTAAGAAAGTTTAAAAAGCTTTCTAATCCTCCTTCACAAACTGGAGACAAGTAATCTTTTAGTTGTGCCTATGTGAACATTAGTGCACATTAAATAACAAATTACACACTCACATGGGGGCCACCAGGCATTGGTGGAGCACCAGAAGGTCCTGAAGGCACTTGAAAAGGATTGTTGGGTGTGGGATAGAGTCCTGGTGTGGGATACGATCCCCCAGGGGCAGGATATGGTGCTGGTGGTCCCCAGGCTCCTGGTGGAACAGTGCCCCATGGAACAGGTGGTGCTGCCCCGGGTGCTTGGGGAGGAGGTGTGGGATATGGCCCTGGATATGGCATATTAGGGGTAGGATACTGCCCTCCCATTCCTGGTGCCCAAGGTCCAGAAGACATGGATCCCCATGGACCTAAAGGACCAGCTGGATCGGTGGGAGCACCATATGGTCGCGGAAGCTCTGGAAAGGGCATATTTGGTGTAGGATATGGCCCTGTGGGGCCAGGACCTGGCACAGTTGGGGCTGGATAAGGACCACCAGGAGGGGGGCATGATGGTCCGGAAGGAGGAAAGGGTCCTGGAGGTCCTGGAGGTGGTCCAGTGGGAGGCACAGAGGGATACATTCCTGTTGGCGCTGATCCGAAAGGCACAGTGGACGGGGTTGCACTCGGTGGGAGTCCAGATGGCACAGCAGGTGGAGCACTTGGGTTATTCCAAGAGTTGGAACCTGGCCAGCTTTGAGGAGATTGGCTAGGTTTTTTATTGCTCACAGCAGAAGTTTTGGCAGGGGAGTGGTCAGGTAGCGCATCAGCCAACTGCAATACAAAAAAGGCATGTCTTACCGATCTTATTTAGGAATAAGTCACGCCAAACATGATTATAAGACTCTATAACATCTTCAAAAGCAAAGCTGTTCAGTTTAAAAACAATTCATTTAATACAAAACTTGAGGGGTTATCCCAAATATCAACTTTGCATTGCAAAATTCTCAAAGAAGCTAGTTTTCTAAATACAACTAATTAACACACTATAGATCTGAATTCCACTTTACCTCAAACAAGTTACATACTTTCTCTGAAAGTTAGCTTCCTCAAAAATAGTTTTAGGGTTAACTTGAGGCTTAAATGAGATAATTTGTGTAATGCAGTTAACACAGTGCCTGGCATTTAATTTTTAATGAACGCTGGCTATTATTAATAATGAGGTTAAAAGAGAACAGAATAGAATATTTAGAAATTCTTTACTTAAGGATTCATATAGAAATAATTCAAAATATATTTTCAAACATTATATGTAAGTAAATTAAGGCAAATAACCTATCAAAATCACATACCACCACCATCCCTGATCCACCAAAACCCAAGAATCACAGAAAGCATCTCTTTTAAATGGAAAGAATTATGCCCCACTATTAGAACTATGTTGTTTTCTTAAGAGCTAAAAACTTGTAAAGAATAAGTGCATCAACTTACCGAAAATTCATCAGACATTTTCCTAAAATCAAAAAGAGAGGAAGAAAAAGAAAGGAAGAAGGAATATTTCAAAACCAGTGCTTACTATTTCTTATATATTCTTTAAGGAATTTTCTATGCATATATTACTTTTACTTAAATGGAATCTTATTCATTCATGTAAGGAGTTTTACTTTATATAGGAAACATTTCTGTAACAACCCATACAGCTCTATCAACTTCACCTGTTTTTACTGCCTGCACATCATATGAAAGTGATCCATAATTTAGCTGACACACTCATGTTGGTGACAGTTTAGGTTTGCTTGCATTTTGTGTTTGAGATATAGTGAACATGTCCAAATATATATATTTTTGCTCACTCGTGAGTGAGATCTATCACCAGGGAAAAGTACTTGAAGTAAAATTTCCAGTCAACGGGTAGTTATCTAAATTCCATCTCAAAAGTCTATGCCAATTTAAAGTCACTTGCCCATTTACACTGCCTACCTTTCCCTTCTAACTCTTCTTCTCCACTGGATATTAAATTTATAAAAATTGTTTCTATTATAGTAGACTAAAATTGGCATATTACGGCCGAAACCGGTTTGGCTCAATGGATAGAGCGTCAGCTTGGGGACTGAAAGGTCCCGGGTTTGATTCCGGTCAAGGGCATGTATGTACCTTGGTTGCGGGCATATCCCCAGTAGGGGGGTGTGCAAGAGGCAGCTGATCGATGACTCTCTCTCATCGATGTTTCTAACTCTCTATTTCTCTCCCTTCCTCTCTGTACAAAATCAATAAAATATATTTTTTTAAAAATAAAATAAAAAAATAAAATTGGCATATTACTTAAACTTAGATTTCTTTAAGTAGAAAGTAGAGCATCTTTTAAATTTAATATTCATTTATACTTCTTTTTCTGTAAATCTGCTCATGTCCTTAGACCACTTTTATCAATTTATTTAATTTGAAATAAATGAACATTTAATAAAATGCAAGGATCTTTTAAATGTTAGGTCAACAGTGTCCAAGATACAGAACATTTCCCTTACTTGAGAAGGTTTACTCATACTCCTTTCTAATTAACTCCCCTTCTACCCAGCAATCACTTTCTTAGTTTTTGCTTGTTCTTAGACTTCATTCATATCCTATCTAATGAAGAGGTAATATGCAAACTGACAGTCATTCCAACACACAACATGGCCACCTCCATGTGGTCAAAGATAGCCACCCCCATGTGAACCACCACAATATGGCTGGCAGGAGAGGGCAGTTGGGGGCGATCACACCTGCAGGGAAGGGGACTTAGGGGTAACCAGGCCGGCAGAGGGCAGTTGGGGGCAACCAGGCCTGCAGGAGAGGGCAGTTAGGGGAGACCAGGCCTGCAGGGGAGGATAGTTGGGAATGACCAGGCCTTCAAGGGAGGATACTTGGGGGGGGGGGGGGGGGGGAGATGGACCAGGTCGGCAGGGGAGGGCAGTTGGGGGTGACCAGACTGGCAGGGGAGGACAGTTGAGGGCAACCAGAGTGGTAGGGGAGGGCAGTTAGGGGTGACCAAGCTGGCAAGGGAGAGCAGTTAGGGGTGACTGGGCCAGCAGGGAAGAGCTGTGTGTGTGTGTGTGTGTGTGTGTGGGGGGGGCAGACATGCAGGGGAGGATAGTTAGGGGCAACCAGGCTGGCAGGGGAGGAACGGGCCCACTGGGATTGGGCCTAAATGGGAAGTAGGACATTCCTCAAGGGGTACCATATTGGGGAGGGTGCAGGCTAGGCTGAGGGACAGCTCCCCCTCCCCCCCATGCACAAATTTTGTGCACCGGGCCTCTAGTAAATAGAGTAAGACTGTATGTACAATAGTCTTTTGCCTTTGATAATTTTACTAAGTAGTATACATCTTTCTTAAAAAAAAAAAAAAAAAAAAAAAAAGCTTTATAAGATAGTAAGGAAATTAGCTAGCTCTGTCTGTCATACATGAGACAAAAAATTTATCCTGAGTTCCTTTTGTCCGTAAATCCTTTAAATGGTATATTTAGGCTCTACAAATACTTTTAATTTTGTGTAGTCAAACTTATGAATTTTTCAACTACATGCAGCTTCTGTCTTATAAAGGCCTTGCCTACTCCAAGTTTAACAAAAAAATGTCACCAGCCCTGGCAGGTGTGGCTCAGTTGGTTGGAGCATTGTCTTGTGCACTGGAAAGTATTGGATTCAGTCCTAGTTAGGCACATACCTAAGTTGCAGGTTCCATCCCCGGTCAGGTGTGTATGGGAGGCAATGAATTGAGGTATCTCTCGCACATCGTTCTCTCCCCCAACTATCCCCCTGAAATGTCACCTATGCTCTCTTACTGTATTTTTATAATTTAAGTTGTTTAAACTTTTTGTTCTTCCCAACAATAATTATGAAATAACCTATCTTTTCTCAACTTACTTGACAACCTTAACACATTCTGTTATTAACAACTAATTAGCCCTGGTCAGGTAGCTCAGTTGGTTAGAACATCATCATCCTGGTATTCTAAGGTTGTGGGTTCAATCCCTTGTCAGGGCATATATAAGAATCAACCAATGAATGCATAAATAAGTGGAACAACAAATCAATGCCCCCCCTTCTCTCTCTCTAAAAGCAACCAATTAAAAAAAACACCCCTAAACCAATATTTATTGGACATCCATGGAACAGGCACCATGCTAAGGGCATAATCTCATTTAATAGCCTCAGAGCCCCACAAATGCAAATTCTATTACCATCCTATTTACAGCTGAGGAAAAGGAGGCTTAACAAGTTAACTTATTTAAGGTCTCGGAGCTAGTAACCAGTAAGAGAAGGGGTTCAAACCCAGGTACAGTCTGATTCCAGAACCAAGCCTCTTTACCAACAGGCTGCCATCATTTCCCACAGGTATTGTGGACTCTATTCTTTTCTACTTATCTGCACCATAAAACCCTATCTTAATTATGGAATCTTTAATTTTTAATACATTTTCATGTCAGTTGCCCTACTATTACTGTCCCTTTTTCCAAAATTTCCTGAATATTTTCATATTTACCTTTCCCCGGTCATTTTGTAAAGAAAAAATTCTGAAAAGTATGTTGGGTGTTCTGGTTGAAACTGCATTGAATTTACAGATTACTTCAGGGGACACTGATATATTTAAAATATCAAATCTTCTCATTGAAGAACAAGGTATGTTTCCTTAGTTTCCATAACTGTCATTTATCATCACTCAGTAGTTTTAAAAAATGTCTCCCACATTTCTTATGAGATAAATATCTAACTAATAAACTTTTTCTTGTGGTTATAAAACTGCCTCTTTTGTTTCACTGTATTTTCTAATTGATTGTTCATACATTGGAAAGGCTTTTTAAAATCAGTGTATTACTTTTGTAAGTAGTGAATTACTGAATTATTTTATTCTTCAAAGTTTCTCAGTTAATTACCTGGATTTCCAGATAGAGAATTATGGCATTTGCAAAAAATAATTTTACGTTCTGTTTTCCATATTTATAGCTCTTTTCTTTTTTTGCATCAACTAGGACTTAAAACAACAAAGAAATGTTAAATAGTGAGAGTAAGCACGTAAGTTTTGTCCCCAAATCTCCTGGGACTGCATCTAATGTTTAAGTTAATTCTCATTTTTAGTTTGAGATTAAGTAAATTAATTAATTAATTTTGTTTGGAATTTAAAAGATCTTTTGGCATCTAATAAGTTAATCTTATTGTTTCCCTCTGACCCAATCAACATATATATGTGTGTGTGTGTCTATACACACACACACACACACACACACACACGTATTTTGCGTAATACTGAGCCATCCTTGAGTTAAGAGTTTTATTAAATATGATTTGGTTATCATAAAAATGAAGAAACAGAACATGAGGCCTACTAATTCACAACTGTGATAAATTTGCTTTTTGCTCAGGATACGAAAAAACACACCTTGAATGTATAGCAAATATAGTTATCCATTCATTCCTAAGTTACAGTTTGTTTTATACTAAAAGCCACTTGCACAATAGTAAATTCTTAGGACTAACACCTGAAGAAACTTATCAGCGAATGACAAGTTTAAAGTCCACATAAGACTAACATGCTTTTCAAACAGGTAAGTCTTGCTGAAACAGAAAATGGTTCTGTATCAAAGTTCACATTAATTTTGGAGCAGAGAACTAACAAAGCAACCAATTCCATTTCATATGGTCTTGCTGTTCAGATTTTTAGAATTATTTGTTTCCCTTAGATTTTGAAAAACTTTTATACATAATATAAAGTTAGTCATAGAATTCTATCAAAATGTTATCCCATAAATACTCACAATTCTTTCAAAAAAACTTTTTTACTTTCTACTTCTGTATTTCTTAATTATTATCTGTGTACATATCTTACCATTGCCTCCCCCCATGTCTTTCAAAATTTTAAATCAAAATCAAATCCTGGAAGGCAGAGGAAGCTCTAGAATCATATCATTAAAACAATGAAGCCCTGACCAAAGAATTAGAAGTAGGTCACTTTCTGTTCTACATCACTGCACAGGAAAAAGTGACCTGCTCTCCATACATAGAATGAACAGTGTTCATGTTAATTGGAAACATTCCAATTTACATTCTGGAATAATTTCATCATAAAAAGGTAAAAAACCAAAATCAAGCAGGGCATCAATGTCTCAATATGAGAAATGTTGCAGAAAGTTTGAAAAATTAAATTTTTCTAAAGGATTCCAAAACATGGATTACGCTAATTAAGATGAGGTAAATTCGACCTTAAAATGGCAAAAACAAAAAAGAAAGGCTTATAATCAAGATTTTCATTTTTTCTTCTTCTTGGAATAATCCTAAGCTATTTCCTCCAAAACTCTTACTACCACTATGGAAAGATATCTACATCAACTGAAAAATAATCATTTAAATTTATGAGCCGTGAGAATAGTGATTTTAAAATAGAGTATGAAATGTCTTTTAACATACACTAGAAAAGTAAAACATTTCTGTAATTTCTCTGGCCTTTAGGGTAAAAAAGGTAATTCAATCAAAGGAAGATTTAAGGAAGTTGAACTCCATAAATTGCTATTGACTACCAGACAAGAAATATTTCAAAAGGCCACCAAATTGTGATAGAGAAAAACAGTTTGGGACTACTCAGTTATAAAAACTGGACATCAATCCTGGAATTTATTTTAAAGAAGTTGCTTATTTTTTTTTTTTTTAATTGATTTTAGAGAGAAAGGAAGGGAAAAGAATAGGAGGGAGAGAATGGGGGGGGGGGGGGGAGAGACACACAGACAGACAGACATTAATCTGTTATCTCCAGCAGGCAAACATACCATATGAAACCTGCAAACTAGGCATGTGCCCTAACCGGGAACTGAACCCACCACCCTCTGGTGCACCGGAGGATGCTCCAACTAACCAAGCCACGCCCACCAGGACTGGACATCAATCTTTTTAACTGAATCTTTTGACAAAGGCAAGCTTAATCAGAGCCCATGTTTTCATCTGCGAAAGTTATAATTTCCACTGCTTCACAGACAATTGTAAGTAACATTTAACAATCAATAGTAAGATGTTTATTAAAATGCTCTTCCTATCAAGATAAATCAGGACTTTCGGTATGATCTGTTTAGTTGGGGGGGGATGATAATAATGTTATATTAAATATATAAATTTTGACTTAAATATATGACAGTTTTTAGTATTAGTTTTTTAGCTATCCTACATTTGGGCAACTGAAGAAGTTGGGAATTTTAAGTTTTTGATCATTTTAAACTTCTTTAAAACAATTTTAAAAAATCTGCCAAAACTGGTTTGGCTCAGTGGATGGAGTGTCCACCTGCAGACTGAAAGGACCCAGGTTCGATTCCGGTCAAGGGCATGTACATTGGTTGTGGGCACATCCCTGGTGGGGGGGGGGGGGGGGTGCAGGAGGCAGCTGGTCAATGTTTCTCTCTCATCGATGTTTCTGGCTCTCTATCCTTCTCCCTTCCTCTCTGTAAAAAAAATCAATATATCTTAAAACAATTTCCCCAACAACCTCCTGTTAGCCGTATTGTCTACTTTTATTCAGCTACTTCTTGGAACACATGTGCTAGGCACTGTATTGTATGAAATGCTTCAGGAGTTCAGTCTGGTGCTTGAACATTACCTGGGGTGCTAAGCACAGGCACTAAGAGGGTACTTCAAAGAGCTATAATGGAATGAAGGAAGGGAGGACCTGGGGAGGAATTCAGGCAAGCAGTGCCTCTGCAGTCTGAAGAACAATGAATAGGGGATGGTGGGATAGGCTTAGGGAAAGGAGAGCAGTTTGTGCAGAGGCTGAGGAATGTAAGAAAGGATCTGTGGGTAGTGTTAGCAGGTACGATGGGTTGGAATACAGAAAGGGGAGGGATATGAAAGTCTTAGCAGAGGGCCTTTAGACCAAGGTTTGACTGTCTCAGTCTGGGTCAGCTAGCTTACTTGAATGAATAAACCTGTTTCTTCCACTGTAAAGAACTGGCTAGTAATGCCAGAGGCTAAATGGGACTCATAAATCAAGTGCCTATAATAGTGGTAGAAAAATACTGAGGGGCAACAGATATATTCTCGTCTTCCTTTACACACAGGCATATAGCACATGGCTAAAAGAGTAAAGGCTACAAGTATGCCTGACTAGAACACAGCTCTTCATTGGCTGGCTCTGAACTGGATGAACTTTCCAAATCTCAGAAGTAAAAGGAGACGGGAATAGTATCCACCTTACAGATCTGCAAACAAATCTCTTGGGCACTGGCTGGCATAGAGCAAAAACTCAACAAGCGTTGTTCTCTTTTACAATCACGATGATCGATCCATAAACCTTTATATCCAGTTCTCAACGCAGAAACCTCCGAAATGGAAAGAGGTGCCTTTCAAGTTTGGCATAAAACTTATTTGGTGGTAAAATCTGACCTGAGGCTATTTACAGTTTCCATTAACGCACACCTATGGCTGCACAACTATTAATGCTGCATTAAGGGGATGCTGCCTCAACCCCACGGGGGGGGGGAGAAGAGGGGGTGGTGGTGGGTGGTGTTATGTCTGTGCCCGTTATCCTGTTTCTAAAATCTACAGGTGAAAATTACAATATTTCTGAACTTCAAAACACACCCGGCCTCAGGATCTCGATGAAACCGGTTTGGCTCAGTGGATAGAGCTTCGGCCTGAGGACTCAAGGGTACTAGGTTCGATTCCGGCCAAGGGCACGTACATTAGTTGTGGGCACATCCCCAGTGGGGGGTGTGCAGGAGGAGGCAGCTGATCGATGTTTCTCTCATCGACGTTTCTAACTCTCTATCCCTCCTCTCCCTTTCTCTATGTTAAAAAAAAAAAATCAATAAAATTTATATATTTAAGAGGTGGGTCTCTGTTCCTCCAGGAGAGAGGAAAAGCACGCGGCCAACATTCCAACACTCGCAGCTCAACCTCAAGTTCCTGAGACAAACTCCCTTTGAATGGGAGGGCCTGCGACGCCAGGAGCAAGGAAAAGTTGTTCCTCCTGCGCAACGAACCCTCCCGAACAAAGAACCTCGGGAAGGTGTTTGAAGACAACTCCGCCTCTAACAAGAGTTCAGGCCTTTAAAAACCACCAGGTGTGCGAGTCTTTCTTTAGTAGCAACGTCTTCAAAAAAATTCCCCCCCCACCCCCGGTGTGCTGCGTATGGTTTGATGCTCGACATTAGACTTCTTTATATAGTAAAAGCACTCACTACTCCTGGTTTTCAAAAACGGAAAATGGTCAGCCATTTGTAAGCTACCATGCCTAGGAAGCGCTCCTAAATAGCAAAACCTTACACAACTCCGGGGTTTCCGATGGGCATTTCACGGAACGTATCTGCCTGCCAGCAGCGCCTCCAGGGAGGAGGGCCGGGACGGCGTCACACGGCGGGGAATCGTACACTAGGGTCAGAGATTCCCCCAAGAATCTGTTCGGACCCAGGTCTTCCCTTTTATTAGGAATTAAACGAATGGGGTGTGGGGGCCTGGGGCGCGCGGCGGCGGCCCCGCGGGGTCCCGGGAACAAAGGGAGGGAGACCGGCCGGGGAACCGGAGCGAACCGGCCGCGGAGCCGGTCGCCCGCCCGGCCAGGCGCGGGGGGAAGGGCCGGCCGCTCCCGCCCGCCCCGCCCCGCCCCGGCCCGGCCTGAGTCAGGCGCGGAGACACCCGAGGGCGCGACCTCCCGTCTCCAACGCCTCCTCCGGGGCCCCAAGGAAGAGCCTGGAAAAACACGCTCAGCTCCGGAAGAGCGCCACCAGCCGCTCCGCCACGGCGCCCGCCGCCCGCTCGGGCGCGCTCCCTCGCCGCCTCCCCGGCCCCTGTTAGCGCCGAAGCAGCCTCACCCGGCAGATCCGAGCCCGCAGCGAGGTCCGGGAGCAGCGATGGGCCCGAGGAGGCCGAGAGCTGAGGAACCAGGCGCAGCCCGACTGACGACGGCGGCGACCACGGCACCAGCGGCGGAAGCACCAGCGGCGGAAGCACCAGCACCGGCGGCAGCGGCAGTACCAACAGCGCGCGGCTCCTCCCGGCGCCGGAACAGGAAGCGCCGGCGCCGCCGCGAGCACCGCCCCCCGCGGGCGCTCCTCCCTCCCCTCGGGCGGGCCCGCGCGCGCCCCCTGCAGGCCGTCGGAGGCACTGCGGCCCGGCCGGCCCTCTGGCGCGGCTGCTTCTCCCGCGCTCGCTCCCGGGCGAGCGACTCTTCTCTCCCGGGAACGGCTGGAAAGTTCCTCCGGTTCCCGGAGTTCCGAGCACTCACTCAGAGGAAGCGACCGTGGCTGGTGACGTCGGGGCGGCCTGGCGGAAATGGCTAACTTGTTCCCGGAATGGCTCGTGGGCAGGCCTGGATTCCCTGCGCTGGGCGGGATTTACAGCACCGGAAGCGCGCTCCGTGGCCCAAGCCCGGGAGCACGAACCTTAATCTGGCCCTTACGGGAGACCTAAAGGAACACGGGAATCTGCCAGTCTTGATGTCACAATTACATGTTGTGCAAACTATGTACATATACTTTACATGTAAAAGCATGCTACCTTCGTATGTTTTGCATCCTTGTGTTAAGTGGGTCAATGGATAGACATTTTACTATAAATTTTTTTTATTGATTTTAGAGAAACACCAATTTGTTGCCCCACTTATTTATGTATTCATTGGTTGATTTTTTAAAAATATATTTCCTTGATTTTTTTACCGAGAGGAGGGAAGAGGGAGAGTTAGAAACATTGATGAGAGAAACACGGGTATGTGCCCGCAACCAAGGTACATGCCCTTGACCAGAATCAAACCTGGGACCCTTCAGTCCGCAGGCCAATGCTCTATCCACTGAATCAAACCAGTCTTGGCCATTGGTTGACTTTTGCATGTGCCCTGACCAGGGCTCCAACCTATACTTGGCATAGCTGAAGGATGCTCTTATCAGTACAGTAGAACTACCTGGCCGGGCCTACTATAAACTTCTTAAATGAACACTTATCTCCAGATATGTGGCACCATACACAGAATTCTCATACCGATTAATGAACTATAGAGGAACTTCAGATACCTAAGCCTGGGAAGGCAGATTTTTGGATAAGGGAGTGATCTACAAAGAATGATACCATTAGTGTGAACGACCTAACCTGCCCTCATAGGAGGAGTAAACCAGCAGTCTTGTGGAGCATAAGGAAGCCGGAGGCAATAACAAAGTCCATGAAAAGTGTTATCTTTAATCATTTTTTAAAAAATTCATGGTAGGCTCCTACAGACAACTTTTGCTTGGAAACTAAATCGCCATCTAGTTATTTTAGAATTGCACTAACTGCTCACCCAATCCAATCCTTCCATTTCCTTCACAGATGTCAGTCCTACACTATGGTATGAAGATTTCAACTCCTCCAGTTTTGTCCTTCATATTTATTGCTCCACCCCAATAAATCTTACATATTTAATCACACCATGACATCCGATTTTGGAAGACCCATACTGATATACTACAAACTGAAAGGAATGTATTATAAATTAGAAAATGTGTAAGAATAGATTTTAAAATTTCTTTTTCAGATTCTTAATGTATGATGTAAGGACACACACTGTTTTAAAAGCAAAATATAGAGCCTTTGGATTTTATATATGAAGTTTTAATTAAGAAGAACCAAAAATTTATTCAGATCGATTTATTTGAAATTACATCTAAGAAAAAATCTAACTAGGATTTGAAATAAAAATGGCAACAGTCTTCTTTTTCGATAAGGGGTGAATCATACAAGCCTGGTTGACAAGGGCACTAATAGCTTTGTCAAGTTACTACTTAAACTCTGTATTTTCAAATATACATCAAGTTAATACCTGATTTATACAGAATTTCTCCAATTCTAGCAAAGTTAGCATACTGTAAGTAACCTTGAGTTTTACACTCTCTCAAGTCTGAAAGCTCAGATTTTATTATAACCACTGCAAAATAATTACAGGCATACCTTGGACATATTGCAGGTTCAATTCCAGACTACTGCAATAAAATATCAAAATGAAACAAGGGGGTTCCCAGTCATATAAAAGTTATGTTTACACTATATTGTATTAAGTGTACAATAGCATTAGGTCTAAAAAGTATATACCTTAATTTAAAAATACCCTATTGCCAAAAATGCTAACCATCAACAGAGTTGACAAAGATCACGGGTCACAGATCATAACAAATACAATAATGAAAGTTTGAAATATTGAATTACCAAGTGTGACACAGAGACACAAAATAAGCAAATACTGCTAGAAAAAGGTGCCGATAGACTTGCTTGATACAGGGCTGTCACCAATCTTCAATTAAAAGATCCCCAAATCTGCAAAATGTAATAAAGTGAAAGGCAATAAAATAAGGTATGCCTGTATCTTTACTTCCTGCAAGTGTAATTAACTTTTAAAATAACTTAGGCAAACATCAATTTTACATAAACCTTATTAATTGCAAGTCTTCATCTAATTGCAGAATCTACATCAATTCAAAATGTATTATCTCTATTGTCATATCAAGCCAAGAAAACCTATTACAGACTAAAAGTGAATGTGAATCTGCGGGGTCCACTAAGGAGATACTTTGAAAACCCACTAACACATTAGCACTTAACAGCTGTACAGAAATTATTTTCAAGTATGCTCCAAGGGTCACTTCTTAACTGAACAATTCAGAAGTCAAGTGACAAGTATTATCTACATTTTCTATGCCAGGAAATGAAGACAAAGATTTAGGACTGAGTAACCTATTGAAAAGAAAAACACAAAACAAAACCGATTCTGGCTTCATTTGAAATATTATTAATGTGCATCAAATCCCTTTCAATTGGTTTATATCCATTAGAAACCAATGCATATCAAAAGTTACCTGCGTTTTGTGCCCAATATCTTAATTTGTTAGAAAAGTATAGACAGATTCTTGTAGTGTTGCTCATTTCTAGTAGGTCAATAAAAAAGTAAACCCTTTGTTCTGGCTGGTTTTGCTCAGTGGATAACGCATCAGCCTGAGAACTGAAGGGTACCTGGTTCAATTTCCATCAAGAACATATGTCCTGGTTGTGGGCTGGGTCCCCAGTAAGAGATGGCCAATCAATGATCCCCTCATCACTGATGTTTCTCTCTCTCCCTTTCTCTCTGAAGCCAATAAAAAATATATTTAAAAAAGTAAACTCTTTGTGCTTTAATTCTTTAGAAATAAAAATGATTGCAAAACTCATATTAAAATCAAAACTACAAAGTTGTTGTTTGTTTTTTTTCAAAGTAGAAACAACTTGCTTGACAAAATCTTTTATTCATTTGGGCACTTAAATTACCTAACACACAGGATATTTTAAATTTCAGCACTGTTTTCTTTATGTCGTGTCATGGAATCTTTTAAGTACTTTCTTATGAAATTTGGTCTACCAAAAATCAATACATAGCTGACGTGACTAATTATAGCTTAAAATGACAAAATACTTTAAATGAAAACTAAGCATATTATTCATGAGTTAGGTCTCAAAGTTTTGGTTTCATAGGAAGGAAGCTCTCTATTATGTGGATCTATAAAATGATCCAAACTCCAGAGACCGGAAGCTGTTAACTTGATTTATTTTAATGGCTTTGGCTCTTGAATAAATGATGATGGTTTGTTCTTCTTATAAAAAGAAGCGGAGCCCGGCTGGCGTGGCTCAGCAGTGGAGTGTACACCTATAAACCGGGAGGTCACTGCTCGATTCCTGGTAGGGGCGCATGCCCAGATTGACGGCTTGATCCTGTGTGGGGTGTACAGGAGGAAACTGACCAATGATTCTCTCACATTGATGTTTCTCTCTCTCCCTTCCACTCTAAAATCAATAAAAATATTTTTAAGACTTAAAAAAAATGGTATTTATATAATGATGAATCTTAATTGCCACATTTGTTTTTACTTTTTAAAGGATTTCTAATTTCTAAGGCATTTTGTATTATTATTTATAATAAGAAGTCAAAACTTTAACTGAAAGCCATTCTTGGACCACAATTTGCTATCAGCTGAAATTCAGGAAAGAACACAGGACTGATCACTAAATCAATAAATCTAGCCGTAGGCTGACTAAAAGCTTCCTTTAATCTTCCTATTAAGTCTTCCTTTAAATTAAACCATTCCCATTATGAATTATTTAAGTGAATGGTACGGGTATAGAAAGGTCACACGATTCTTCATACAAAAATACTCAAGAAACCTAAAAAAATCCAACACCATATTTTCGGAATTATAGTATGAATCAGCTTAAAGCTTAAAAAGGGGAGTGAATTAATGTCCTGAAAAGCTTTGGAGAGAAATAGAAAAGTCAAGTTTATTTCCTGATTTGTGCAGGATGATTCCCAAAGTGCAGTTAAGTGTATGGTCCAGACTAGCTATTAGAGGTTAAGTAGTTCCCTTTCACTGTCAAGGCTTTTCCCTGAGGTAATGCCTAAATTCTAAAGTTTAATATTTTATCTTGTTTCTTTTAGCCTCATTCTCTTTTAACAGTAAGCCCTACATATTTCCACCATGATGGTTTTTCAATTCTAGAATTTACTTTTCAAATTATCACAATGTCTTAGAGTTACTGCTTAGGTTTGCGTGGGGGCACACTGACCACCAAGAGGCAATAACTCTTAAGACAAAATTTATATATATTGGTGTCTTTCCACATTGTCCCTCTCAGTACTTACTCATTTTACTTACATATTCCATAATTGCATTTTAAAATGAGTTTGTTTCTGAATACTGGATGCTCTTCCAAATATGTCCTCACAAAGTCACTGAGAAAGGGGTTTCCCTTTCTAAATTCAGACCTCTTAAATTAATTTAAAAATTAATTTATGATTACTCTTTTCATCTTCCTTTATGGTAAAGTTTCCTTCCCAAGTATTTATATTTCTACTAGAGGCCTGGTGTACAAATTCATGCACAGGTGGGGTTCCTCAGCCTGACCAATGGGGGAACTGGCGGTGGGGGGAGGGCACAGGAGGTTGGCTGTGGGAGCACACTCACCACCAAGGGGCAGCTTCTGTGTTGAGCATCTGCCCCCTGGTGGTCAGTGCATATCATAGCAACCGGTCAACCAGTCATTCGGCCGCTTAGGCTTTTATATGTATAGGTTTTCCAGGTTTCTTTTTACTGTAGCAAATACCAAAGAAAAATGCAAACCATTTCAGAGTAAATGAGTCTGTTTCCTGCTCTCATTTATTAGATCATTTACTTTGAGGCTATATATATGGCAGTATTTTGAAAATGTCAATAGCTATTAATATCTTGAAATTGAGAAAGCCAAAGAAAATATATTACAACTATATGAAAAGCTACTTAGATTTTGATTTTTATATAAACACCAATTTTTACCATTATAAAAGACAACATAATTATGCTTCATTTTTCTTTATAAAATACCTTTTAACAGAATATTTGTTTTTGTCTTTCCTTAGGTTTTTTTGTACTGATAAAAAATTTTTAAAGAAAAATATTTAAAATAATTGTTTCATAGAAACAGAAAGTGTCATTATCAAATTCTGATAAAAAAAATTATAATCATGGGTAGAATCTTACCATACTATTAATTTTCTTTCACCAAAGATAAGTATTTAGGAAGTGTAATATTAGTAAATAAGATAAGCTTCTCAGTGAACTACAAAAGTGCCACAATAAAGATGAGGTAGTATGAGACTTTTCTTTTGTAAAAGGAAAATAGCATCTTTAGAAGAGATATTTATCCTGATATTGGTGTTGAAAGCCTGAGCCTCATCTGCTAAGAAAGGAGCTATTCTCATAGTTACCCTTCACTGGAACCAAGACAATCTTGAGATCACCGAGAAAAAAAAATGGTAGAAGATAATGGAAGCAGATTTTCTTGGTTTAATTTTGCGGTAATTGCTAAAAATTTATTTTAACACTATTATTGAAAAATGCTATATTTATATTAGCAGCAGAACTTCAGGAAATAGAAATGTTACTTCAACATAAAAGCAATGATATTTAAGAAACATTATAACTTGGAAATTTGAGTCAAAATTTTTTCAACCTAGGCAGAAAGTTTCCTATTACAGCTAAACTAGCATCAAGAAATTACTATATGTAAACAGCTCATCAGAAGAAACAATTGTCTAGGAAATTTATTGTTCATTGATTCTTTAAAAAAGAGGGGATAGATAGGATATTACTTCATTTATCTTACATAGGGATAACGGTGTTTCTAAAAATGCTTTCCTGTTCTTGGGATAGTATATTTAAAATATTACACCTGTTGCCTAGTACTGTTCAATATTGCCTAAGCCATGTAGCTCTCAAAATCTTTTCCTTTTATTGAAGCTACAATAAAGACATGTTAATTCTGAAGATAGGAATAATTATTTGAAACTTGAAGATTAAAAATAATATTAAGCTTTCTGAATACTAAGCTCTAAGTTCACTTCTTGAATCTTTATTCAAGTTCATTTAAAAATTATGAAAACTTATTTAGGGACCAATGAAAATGTGTGGCTGTTTATAAACTATAGTATCTCCCCAAGTAACAGACTGAGTTTTTATAAATGAGCTAAGTAGAAGCAACAGTTCATAAGTAAAAAAACTGTTTTAGTACTTTAGTAACTACTTAGTTACTAACAGTGCTATCATTATTTTTAAAGCTCCCAGTGAGAAAGGAACAATATTTATGTTTCAGGTTTTAAGAGGGACCTATTAAAGGAATAACAAATGACCATTCCACATTGTAGAAGAATACATTCACCTCCAAAAATGTTATGCTCCATTTGATTCTTACTGATGAGATTAATCAAATTTGGTAATCCCGTTTTAGAGTTAATATTTAAAATACTGTAAAAACACAGAGTTAGATTTTAAGCTATGTTTTTACCTTTAACATCCCTATTAGTAAATTACAAATAAATTACATTAGTATGGATTGTGAATCACAGCACTCAGCTTTACTGAAGAATTTGAAAACAACTCTGGAAAGGGGGATGTGGAAACCATATTTTATGTATAGGAAAGCCAATGGTATAGGTTAACAAAGTATTTTACATGTAGGAAAGGACATAGGATTATTTTTAAAGAAAATAACAAAATACAAATTATTAACCGAGTTTACAATGTCTAACAATTTTCAAATATCTCCGGTTCTTAAGCAAATTACAATTAAGAAAAAAGAAATTAAGTAAATACCCTACAGAATAAAAACAAAAACCTTGGTCAAAAATATCCATTAACCCTTAGTGTGTAACCTTAAACAATTAGTGTACTATAAGAAAAATAAACAGATCTGGAAGCAAAATTTAGGGCAGAGGTTTATTTCGGACTCTTAACTGCCCTTGTAGAAAAATTCAAAGTAGTATTAAGAAAAATAAGATATCAAATTCCCATGTTCCTACCCTTTACCTAGAATTGTTGTTTTGGTGCATCAATCCTGAGTACTCTAACTTTTGATTTATAGTGATATTCCTTCAGATATAATTTCATAGAAGAAGGAATTGGAAGGGCATCAATGCCATCGTAAGTTGTACAGTTACAGATAACTGTTCTGCATATATGCTGTAGGGGAAAAGGGAAAGTCCGAATTAAGGGAGTGGATAAAAGTGGTTCAAAGAACATACAGGCACTTGGGTCCTTATAATGTTCTAGGAGCCCAGTAATATCAGGGGAATGGAAGACACAAGGATCATGTGCATCAAAGCTAAAGTTGTGATTCCACTGTTCAATCCTTGCATGAAGAGAACGACTATAGCGTCTGAAACTAACAGAGAATAAATAGTCTTCCTGTGCTGAGTCTCGAAGTAAAAAGGTACCCTCTGGTTTTCCTTCTAGGAGAGCTTCAGCTGCATATTTATCCATAACTCCCCAGTAACATGGATTGTTATTGATCTGAAGGAGATCTGGTACAAGACAGTGGACATAGTCAATCTGGGTGTGGTACTTAGGAGTTGTTCCCAACTGAAGGATTTCTTCATCCATTTCCCATTTGGGTTTGTTTCTTTTCCTGGAACTTGTGCAAAGTGTTGTAATTTCATCATCTGAATCCATATCACTGTCTTCTATGCAATTATTTGAAACCAGGTTCATCAAAGAGCCAGCCATAGGACCACTACATGAAGCATCGTTGGTGGTTATAACACAGGGCTGAGCACTGGGATGTGAGAAACAGTTCATCTCTTCTTCCATGCTTCTTCTTTGTGTTAGCTGACCATCCCTCAATTCACTCGGAGACAAATCTGTGCTTATCAATTCATCTGGTTTGGGGTTTATAGGAGCAGTGTGTCGTTTAATAAAATGCCACCTAAAGGCTAAATCTGATCGAGGTGGGAAAGGACACTTATCTAACATGAGTTCACTGATATGGATTTTCCTTTTAGATGGAAGCCCCGAAGAGTGCCGACTACTACAGTTCTTTATTGGGAAGCACTGCCCCACGGCATCTTGCAGTTTCTGTTTAAGAGATCGGCCTAAAAACCTATGCCCACAAGAATGATCTAAATCCAACTCGATGGATGAACAGCTGTGCTTTCTTTCTTGGCTCTGTAAAGGAACTTCAGTTTTCTCTATAACATCTACTGTTTCAGCATCTGAAAAATTTTCATTCCTTTTTGACCAAGATAACTTTTTTCCACTCCACACGTAACCATCCTTTCTGTCAGCACTTCTACTCCGACTAGTTTTGGGCCTGACATCTAAATTTTTACTATTACTTTCACTATTTTCTGCCATTTTAAGAAATTATCCAAAAATTCCAGTGTTATAAATACTGCTTTTTCAATTTTTCTGGCAGGAAGTTTCTTCTGGGCACTTTCTGAATGTACCTAAGGGGAGGAAAAAAAATTATTAATCATTTGTCTTTCACATTATATAGTTTACATAGTAAGACCCAATTATACCCAAGATGAAAAAGCATAATTAGTACACGAAAAAGATGCCAAGCCTCCTCTATTAGCCAAAACATATGCTCAAAGTGGATATAATTTCTAGTCTTGAGGTACATCTTATGCCAATCTCTTTTTAAAACCCTTATTTTTTTTTATTTCACAGAAAACCAGTTTTAAAAGACACTGAGAAATCTGTGAGCTTGTGTTTGAAGTCCACTACCCTATATAGTTTTCTTCACTTCCCTCCCTTTGTTTTTATTCCTATTTATTGAAAATATGAAGTTTTAAGTTATAAAGAACTTATTAAATTATCACCACTGAATAATGCCACATAGCATTTTTCAATGCAGGTTTTTTTGTTTGTTTGTTTGTTTTTGGTTTTTGGGGGGGGGGAGGAAAGTTTCCATTTTGTATTTACAGAAGACAGAAATAATAGCCATCATGTTTCAGATCACTCTGAGATAACCAGTGCTATCAAGTTCTAGCATGCCCCAAAATATTTTTTTAAGCTATTTTTCTTCCAGGAAATGAAGAATATCCACTGAAGTTTTGAAATGCTAAAAAAACAAAAGAAATAAAAAAGAAACGGAGTTAGAAAGGAGAAGAGGGAGGGAAGAAAAGAGAGAGAAGGAAAAAGAAAAATGAAGAAACTAAGGGAGGGAGAGAAAGAGGAGGAGGAAGTCTGACACCCATTATGATATCCTAGTTTCCTTGGGAATCAGAGGCCCTGGTTTTGAGAAACACTTAAGTAAGAGGAGTCTAAGTATCTTCTTAGAGTAGGATAGTTATTTTCCTTTTCAAAGTTGGACAGGCATATGACCTTCTATAGAGTTTCTTAATCTATCCTTCTGATGGGGAAGGATTAAATATGTGCTGAAGAAATCTAGCTCAGGCAAGCTCCTAACCACAGTCTTGGCTAAAGGTGAAGTTTTTTGGAGTTGGAGTGGTGGTATTTGGCATCAGCTGAATTTCAGCGTCTACCCACATTTTGGTGCCACAAGCTTTTGGGGAGGAGACATCAGGCCAACTTGAGGCAAAACAAAGTTAATCACTAATCACCTTGTAATCTGCTTGAAGCCAGAGACACTATCTTCTGTCAGTTTTTTCTCCAATATCACTACAGAAGCTGGCACACAGTATACCGGTAAATAGATTGATGATAATGTATTAAAAACCACGAAGTGCTATAAACCACCTAATGAAAAAAAGTCAAATTAAAGTACCTGTGGAAATGGGCAATATTCTATACACCCATTTAGATGATTCATGTTTAATGTTCAGGTAAAGACTTTAACAACTGACAACACTCCAAGAATTCCAGTGCAGTTTTGTCAACTGATTTCAATAACTAGTCAACTTCACTATCAATCTAGGCAGTTTTTGGAAAATACAGAATTGGGACAAAAATTTGTTATTTCTCTCTCTCTCTCTCTCTCTCTCTCTCACACACACACACACACACACACACACACACACACACTTGTATTCTTCTTGATAATTCTGACAAACAAGCAGATACATTTCTATGGGGCAATGCCTTTCCTATGAAATTGGCTAGATATACTAAAATTTACAATGTAAAATATTGAATTTATTAAAACTAATGCTAATGATTGATCATAGATGAAATTTACTTAATTATTATTAGGTGGAATAAGATTTAAGTCCCGAATTGGAGGGAAGGGTTCTATAATTTCAAATGTTTTGAAATTAAAGTTGAGTTTTGTGACTAAGAAAATCAATCACACTCAACATTTTGATTATGATTAAGTTTCTGATTATGTCAGAGGAACATCAATAACCCCAGCAGTTAAGTAAATGTTTAGAGCCACTTGAATCCTTTTAAGGCAGTTGGGTTTGAAACAAGCATCTGCAGTGGCATATGATTGTTACACGCTTAAAGTGTGATCTGATGACACAGATTTGCTATATAAAGTACTGCATTTCTAAACTGAATAGCATCTAATAATTTACTTATTGTTTTGATTTCGTAAATTCACGGGTATATAATCATTTAAAGTTCATAAGGAAAAATATTTAAAATAGAATTTTGAAAGAAACATCACAAACACTAAAATTATACTCAACAGTATGCTTTGGCTGATCATAGATTAAATTCCACTAAACAAAAAAACAACAAGCAGAAGCAACAAAGTAATCTGAAGAAAATGAAGTCACTGATTAGAAGAGACACTTCTGTTACTGCCTAGGAGCTTACACTCTAATATATTTTTTAAGATAAATGATAATAAAGGAGAGCCAAAACCGATTTGGCTCAGTGAATAGAGCGTTAGCCTGCAGACTGAAAGGTCCCAGATTCAATTCCCGTCAAGGGCATGTACCTTGGTTGTGGGCACATCCTCAGTAGGGGGTGTGCAAGAGGCAGCTGATCGATGACTCTCTCTCATCAATGTTTCTAACTCTCTATCCCTCTCTCTTTCTCTCTGTAAAAAATCAATAAAAATAAAAAAAAGATAATAAAGGAGGTCCATGAGCGGTAGAAATAAGAGACCAGCACCTGCACAGCCATTAAATTATGATTCAGGGCAAACAAACAAAGGAGTGATGAGTGATATTTTTTTGTTGTTATTGCATAATTTCAAACTTTAAGCACAAGAATATGGAAATCATATCACTTAATCATATCACTTTTATTTTACTTATTAAAAAAGTACTAAAATAGCCGAGACCGGTTTGGCTCAGTGGATAGAGCGTCTGCCTGCGGACTGAAAGGTCCCGGGTTCGATTCCGGTCAAGGGCATGTACATTGGTTGTGGGCACATCCCAAGTGGGGGTGGTGCAAGAGGCAGCTGATCAATGACTCTCTCTCATCGATGTTTCTAACTCTCTATCCCTCACCCTTCATCTCTGTAAGAAATCAATAAAATATATTTTTTTTAAAAGTACTAAAATAGCGGTTAATTTTCTACTGGATGTGAGCTCTATCTTGCCTCCTTGCTACCTCAAAATTGTGTCAGTTCTACATCACAGCTAAGCTCTCTAACCTCTATTCTTTATTTTATTTTTATTTTAAGAAGGGAGGGGGGAGTACATTAGCCAGTTGCCACCTACATGGGCTCCATCAGGAATATGAACTGCCACTTTTTGGTGTATGGGACCGTGCTCCAACCACCTGAGCCACACCAGCCAGGGCTAACCTCTATTTGTGATAACATTTCCCACCTTTACCTACTTAAATTTCTCTGTGCCTTCAAACACAACCAAGTTTTCTATAAAATCTTTTAGTGATTATAATGCTTCTTTTAGTTTTATCTGCTGCTTTCCATTACTATATTTCTTAATGAGTAGTGTAACTTGATTTACCCTCGAAATGAAAGTTGCTGCCCTCGACCCCTATAAATGAGAAATAAAAGCACAAATCTTGTCTTCAATTAAATTGAAAGATAACTGCTACAGAACGTGTGAGTAGAGAACAGAGTGGAAAATGGGGAATTAGGTTGAAAATCTGCATGACAGCAATTAGATCTCTATGGTTCTTACTCTGTCACTTAGAGTAGATGAGATATTTGGAGACACTGAACCAGAGAGGCGGATATCAGGATTTTGGATATCAGACAGTAAGGGCAGAGGGGAGGTTTCAGACTGAAATTAGAATGAAAATTCCTCTTTCACTTAACAGGGAGAAACAATGGCCACAGAGAAAAGACCTATAGTGCTGCTATCTGGGAATACTCGAATAAAAAGCTAGGCGGCCAGCCAAACCTGCAGTGAACCCCACCAGTGCACAAGCCCCGCCCACTCAGACGCAGCTTTTCAGGCGTTGCTGTGCTTCATTCACTCTAGAATATGAATGCTCACAGGTTATCAGTTTTGAAGAAAGCCTGTAATATAAACAACGGGGACTAAAACATAAGGAACCTGGAGAAGGCAGTAACCATAAAAGGAGCAGAAAATAAAGTTGACTATTTCCAAATGAAAAGAAGGTATTACACCTAAGAATGAATAAGAGAAGGTGCAGGACAATCAGAGAATAAAGGTTTGCAAATTAAAATCACAAATGCAGAAATAAAACACTCAATAGGAAAGTTAGAGGATGAATTGAGAAAATAAGAAAATAGTGGTTAAGACAAGGAAGCTAAGATTAGACGATCAGAAAGTGCAGGGGCCTCAGCTGCCCGCAGTGCACCCTGGGAAAGCAACAGCACCAGACCCAACATGGCAGCCAGCAGGAGGCTGATGAAGGAGCTTGAAGAAATCCGCAAATGTGGGATGAAAAACTTCTGTAACATTCAGGTTGATGAATCTAATTTACTGACTTGGCAAGGGCTTATTGTTCCTGACAACCCTCCGTATGATAAGGGGGCCTTCAAAATCGAAATCAGCTTTCCAGCGGAGTACCCATTCAAACCACCGATGATCACATTTAAAACAAAGATCTATCACCCCAACATCGATGAAAAGGGGCAGGTCTGCCTGCCAGTAATTAGTGCTGAAAACTGGAAGCCAGCAACCAAAACCGACCAAGTAATCCAGTCCCTCATCGCGCTGGTGAACGACCCCCAGACCGAACACCCGCTTCGGGCTGACCTAGCTGAAGAATACTCTAAGGACCGAAAAAAATTCTGTAAGAACGCCGAAGAGTTTACAAAGAAATACGGAGAAAAGCGACCTGTGGACTAAAATCTGCTGTGACTGGTTGCAGGGAGTGTGAGCAGAGACCCTGAGCGGCGCATCCAGACCCTCTGCGAAGCAGGCCTCTGCGGAACATGGACACGGGCCACCACCTGGCGTTCGCTTGTGGCAGTTACTAACTTCCTACAGTTTTCTCAACCCAAAGTGGTCTAGGTAACCTGTAAAGAAAGGATTAAAACTTATTTAAGATGTTCTAGTTCTGCTTTCTTTGTTTAAAAATCACTTTAAAAAAATATATATATTTTATTGATATTTTTACAGAGAGGAAGGGAGAGAGATAGAGAGCCAGAAACATCGATCAGCTGCCTCCTGCACACCCCCTACTGGGGATGTGCCCGCAACCAATGTACATGCCCTTGGCCGGAATCGAACCTGGGACCTTTCAGTCCGCAGACAGACGCTCTACCACTGAGCCAAATCGGTTTCGGCTAAAAATCACTTTTAATGTAAAAAAATTAAGAGGATCAATAGACATTTCATAGAAAATAACAAAATGTAGGGGGGAAATTATCAAAGAAACTGTATTAGAACATAAGCCTCTATAATGAAAGAGCCCATTGAGCACTCAGTAATGCTGGGGGGAAATAAACATAAAGTTACATTATTCTAAAATGTTAGAATCCTTAAGGTAAAGAGATAACTAAAGTCTTCCTACCTTATAGCTAACAATACTGTACTATATATACTTAAAAATTTCGTTGAAGAGGATAAACCTTAAGTTAAGTGTTCTTACCACAGTAAAAGAAAATAATAAGTGACTAAATAAAAGTAGCTTCCACCCCAGTAAAGTCTTCATGAAGGAGAAAAGTCATAGTCAAAGAACTAAATAAAATGGCCTTTGGTTTCTCAAGAGTACCCCTGGCAGCTAGAGACTAGTTTCCAACCTTGAAGAGATAACCAGCCAAACAATCACATATGAAGATAAAATAAAAACATTTCCAGATGTGCAAAGTATCAACAATTTTACCTCATCTTGGATAATGTGCTCTTCTAAAATTAGGGTGTAAAATCAAAACAAAGGAAGCAACACAGGACATAAGATATTTAACACAGGAGAGGAAGGTATTCAGAGCTTCTAGAGAGCAAGTCATTCATATATACACACAAGGCTCCGAGGTGGAAAATCTTAAGTAAAAAAAATAGAATTGACTTCTGGAAAATTCAATTGACAAGCAACAGAAAAAGAATTGGGTAATTACTGATTACAAAAATTAAAACATACAAGAAATAAAACAGAATTATCAAACATATGGCTCAGCAGTGAAGATATTTATAGTCACCAAAATTGTGATATAACTATAATAAAAGAATGGTAAGAGGAGACTAAAATAGAGGTAAATCCTCATGTATCACAGGAACTCATATAAGAATGTCTAATAATTGATGAATCAAGAAAGAAAAGTATAAGCATTTAGAAGCATGAAAGAAATAATCAGAAAAACAGTTAAATAATTTGAAAGTAGATGCCTTTGGGATGGGCAGGATAGAAGTGCAATGTTTGCAAGCTTATCTAAGCCTTTCAGCTTAATTTAATTTTTAAGCTAGGTGCATATTGTCATTTTGATAAAATAAATTTAAAGGAATTTATACTCACTGTGAAAAATCCAAGGTAGACAAAATTGTAAAGAAAAATGTAAAAACTATTCATAATCCTACCATCCAGTAACAATTTTTAACATTTTCAGTATCTCTATCCATGTATATGACAAGAAGTTCTTTTATATTTTATTGATTTTTTACAGAGAGGAAGAGAGAGGGATAGAAAGTTAGAAACATCGATGAGAGAGAATCATCGATCAGCTGCCGCTTGCACACTCCCTACTGGGGATGTGCCTGCAACCAAGGTACATGCCCTGGACCGGAATCGAATCTGGGACCTTTCAGTCCGCAGGTTGAGCTCTATCCACTGAGCCAAACCGGTTTTGGCGACAAGGAAGAAGTTCTACAACACAGTGACAGCAGGCATTAAAAATATGGTTTGAGTCCAATTTATTTTATACCTAGCCTTATGACCCTGAAACCTTAGTTTCTTTGTAAAGAAGAGGTACTGATGCTATCTATTTCACTGGGCTGCTGGAGAAATAATGTATATAAAGTACTAAGCTCAGATTCTAAATGTGTTATGTATTCAATAAATGTTAACATTTAAAGCATCAAAGCCAATTTTAGACTCATAGTGAAGAAATCACAGAATATCTGTCTCTAGACCAATGCAAACCATAGTTTGAGCAAATATAATTTTTAGAAGGACAACTGTTCTTCAAAGTAAAAAACAGTCAATATGCGAGATACTGAAACTCAACAGACCATAAAGATACAAAGCAATTTCTCCCAGATAACTATACATATTTACATGCTAACATTACAGGTTTACTTTGGCAAGGCTTACCAACTTGTATACAATAGGTACCAATCAATCAAGTATCTCTGAATTTTAGGTTAACCATTCTTACTTGTGCTTAGTGCTGCAGGTGTCCATAAAATAAAGTGAAAAATATCATTACCTTAAATTTTCCACACATTTACCTGAACTTAAAGTTAATGCACAGAAAATCTTTTATCTTTTGCATCTTTTACAGGGTTATTCTTTTGCTGGAAAACTAAGTTCATGCTTCAGAAGTCCTAGTTTTTAAAACTGTTATGGCAAAAAGAGGAGACTTCAGTATTCATGTTAATACTGAGTTAAGCCAAAACTGGTTTGGCTCAGTGAACAGAGTGTCGGCCTGCGGACTGAAAGGTCCCAGGTTCGACAAGACATACATAGCATATCAATATATGGGCCAAAATGCCACTTAATGTTGTAGTTTTCAAAGTATGAATAAAATCTATTTTCAATTTGTATTTCTCTAAAAGTTAGAAACATTAAAATTTATAAATACTGGATATATGGTTTACAATGTTCCAATCACTCATTGTCAGATGGTGCGCTGTTTCTGAGGTAAGATTTGGAGTTTCAAAAAGCTGAGAACTTGATTTCATCCTCTCCATTTCTTTAATCACTTTTCAGTGTATCACAACTGCTTGCATGTTGCTGAATAGATTTATAGAATATGTAATCTTAAATAAGAAAATCTTTATAATACTTTGTAAATAAACATGATTATGGAATTTTATAACACACAAGGTTTGCTAATTATCTCAGGGCAAAATACGTAAGTTTTGAATTTTTAAGACTAGTTATACAATTTTCTTTTACAAAATGACCAGTGTTCTAAATGTGATGAATTTTACTGGGATAACAGCTTGTAGAAGTTACTTAGCAGATCTAGTAAGAAAGAAAGGCTAGCACAAGTCTTCGAAGAGGACTCACTCTAGTGACTGAGGAAGTCCCAGAAACTTCCTGGCCACCTGAACCACACGGCTGTACTGAAAGCACCCGAGAGGCTGAGGTAATGCTGGTGGCTTACATCACCATAGGATAAACCTGGACAAATATCACCCAGGTTACTTTGGGAAAGTTGGTATTCGCCTTAGTTAAAAAGGGACCAGAGCTTCCACCCAACTGTCAACCGTGATACTGGTCAGTGAGCAGAAACAGATAAATGCTGGCTGCAGCTGCTCCTAACATCGATGTGATGAGATGAGACTTCAAGTTCTGGGGAAGGGAAAGCTCCCAAAGCAGCCTGTCATCCTACAGGCCAAGTTCTCCAGCAGAGGAGCTGAGGAGACGATTAAAGGTGTTGGGGGTGAGGTGGTGGGGAGGTGTATTCTAGTAGCTTGAAGCTACACTGAAGGAAATTCACTAAGTGCTCACAGTGCTTTTAAAAAAACAAAAAAATAAAAAAGACAGAACAAAACAAAACTGATCACTTCATGGTACAGGAAACATCTTAAAATTACTGAGACAGTAACTGTTTTAAAAAAATTATACTATTAATATAAAGATCATTTTAGAAAAACTTTACGTGAAGTACCATTTTTATATGGTACAGAAATAATACTCTGAAAGGTACAGATAAATCAAAGATCTTTGTTGGTATCTGCAAAGAGCTTTTTTTTTAAATTTTTTAATTTAATTTTTTTATTTAGCTCAGTGGATAAAGCATTGGCCTGTGGGTCCTGGATTTGATTCCGTTCAAGGGCACATATCTTGGTTGCAGGCTTGATCCCCAGCCCTGATCAGGGTGTGCAGAAGGCAACCAATCAATGTGTCTCTCACATCAGTATTTCTCTCTCTTTATATCTCTCCCACTCTTCCACTCTCTCTAAAAACCAATGGTGAGGATTAATAAAAAATAAATATGAAAAAAATCACTTGGGAGAAGATTGCTTTGGCTCCTGATTCAATAATTAATTCTTTATGAAGGCAGCTAAGTCACATTTCTCTACAGAGTACACAGTGACATTTTTTAAAAACATTATTTCTTGATGAGCCAGAGGCAAATGTCTAAAAAGCAAGTTTATAGAAAAGCCTTTTTTGAAAAAGCAAATTCCCAGATTTAGTAGACATTTGATCTGTGGTTCTAGCACCAACTGTAATGACAGTGATAATAAAATGAACACCTGACATGACCACTGTACTCTAATAAAAAAATTTAAATAATATCTAGTAAGTCATATTGAGGCCTGGAAGTGATTTAAATTAAAAAAAAATTTTTTTAAATATATTTTATTGATTTTACACAGAGAGGAATTGAGAGGGATAAAGTTAGAAACATCGATGAGAGAGAAACATCAACAAGCTGCCTCTTGCACACACCCCCGGTTTTGGCAAAATTAAAAATTTATATAGAAACCATCAAATTTATATAGAAACCATTAAAAATCCCATAATTAAAGGTTAAACTTTATTTAGAAAATTCATTTATATTATCTATGATGTTGATAAAGGATCATTATTATACATATTAATTCTTCATATAACTATTAGATTTACAATGGTAATGTACATCTACGACCAACATTCATGTTAATACTGAGTTAAGCCGAAACTGGTTTGGCTCAGTGAATAGAGCGTCGGCCTGTGGACTGAAAGGTCCCAGGTTCGATTCCGGTCAAGGGCATGTACCTTGGTTGCGGGCACATCCCCAGTAGGGACTGTGCAAGAGGCAGCTGATCAATGATTCTCTCTCATCAATGTTTCTAA